GGTTCAAGATGCTGAGATTTTTCGCATCGTGTCAGCATTTCGTCCGCAATCTAGGAGTGCGAATGGACAGAAAACCGATGGTTGTCTACAGATTATCGCTAGAGGATGTCAAAAAAGCCAAGATGCAGATACTTAAGCTAGTACAGAGTGCTACGTTTCCAAATGATTGCAAGCATTGAGGTCTGTAGGAAACATTTACAAGAATATTACAAATACTCAGAAGGAGGGAAGGATTGGCATGAGCAATGAGTCGTTGCATTATATATAATCGTCCTGCAAAATCATTAAGAAGGGCATTGTCTGATAAAGAAACTCAGTCCTCTTGTAATGGATGACATCATCCGAGTAGGAGGTCGTTTACAGTTATCTTGCCTATCTTTTGACGGTAAACACCTAATCATACTATAACAGCAGAATGTAAGACACAGAAGCCAATGTGTATTTCCAGTTGATCAAACTGCCATTTATATCTATAGTTTTTTATTCTTTAAACAATCACTGAGAGTTTGATTTGCATTAAACAACATCAAATAAAAAGTTCAAATATATATAGTATTCTGACTCCCTTCTGTGTTCCTTCTCCAGGTTTGCTGGAAGAAGGGGATACCCGAAGCACATATTAAATGACAACGGGTCTAACTTCAAGGGATCTGATGCTAGCTTGAAGAAGACTGTTAGAAGTTGGGATCAGAATAAAATAGCGAATAATCTTCTAGAGAGAGGATGCGAGTTGCATTTCAATCCACTAGAGCTAGCCATTGTGGCGGTGCGTCATTAGACCTGTCAGAAGGATCTTGCGGACATTGTCGTTTCCGAAAACAGTGGCGGATGAGACACTGAAAACATTTCTCGTGGAGTCGGAAAGGATTTTAAACAGTCCATCGCTGATAAAGTCAACAGAAAATGATGAAGACTTATAAGCGCTAACACCAAATAAATCATTGTTGCTTCATAAACAACTGGCTTTCTAAGGCAGTAGAATGTGAGGGTATAATAAAAGATGGAAAGAAACGCGACGTTTGACTGATTTGTTCTGGAGTAGTTGGCTCTATGAATACCTTCCAATTCTGCAAGGAAGTTGAAGTAGTTAGGTATGAAGAGAAAGCTACAGTCCGATGGTCTTGTCATAGTTAGCAGTACTGACACTCCAAGAGGTCTGTGGCCAAAGGCTATAGATAAGTCTAGTCCTATTACATAGCAGCTTTTGCCTTCTATCTATAACTCCAAGTCAGTCTGAAGAATTATGTTCAGCCAGATCATTTCGTAACTTATAATTGATTTTGTTTAGGACGTGCACAGTTGAACGAAGAATCCACGAAGTAGAATGAGATCGCATTATCCTGACTGCAAATATTTTCGTTCCCCCCTTATTCAAAAATGTAAATTTTCTTCCCTAACTCAACCCTAACGTCAATCTGTCCGTAATGCCTCCCTAACTAGGCTACCTTAACCCTAATCTTTGCCTAACCTAAAGCTAATTTTACTTTGCTGTCTGACTGTCAGTGTGCTCCAAGATCATTGGTATGCTGTGTTCACGACATTCGGGTATCTCTAAGGTTTAACTTCATCCTATCTCCCTCTCACACCTTTCTGTTCATGATGTCTCCATTGGAATTTCTTTTTCGCTCCTACCATTTTTGTGCATGCGATATGGCGAGTGTGACAAAACATGAACTGCTACTAGTGCACTTCACTATGATAAGATATGCAGGAGCGTGTAACTCTACTCACCCTTGCAAGTGGTGAACCGGATGAAGTTGTCGATGAGTTTGTGTGACGAACGGGAGCTGTAACGGTTTCCTGGAAGTTATGTTTGAATGGGAGAATTTGGGCCAATTGTCATCGTCACTGCTGGGGTTTGCAATGCGCACAGTCGTGCTCTACATACGTTCGGAATCTGGCCTCTCTGGGTTGGCTGAACCAGTTCGGCAACTCTACCAATTAGATCATAGCCATCGCCATAGAATTGCTTGAGTTCAATGTCATTATCTAGTAAGTAATTCTGAGGTTCAGCAGCGTGTATCTGGACACAGTGATCATCACTCTTTGATTGTCGTAGTCATCTGGAAACGTTGGCTTCGGTGGCTCGGAAATGTATGCGTTATGATCGTCATCCCACACATTCCCGTACCGGTCTCGGTTAGCTGGCCCTTGGAGTGGATGGAAAGGGTAGAGAGGTGGTCAGCCTAAGATGTCACGTCGCTGGATGAAGGATATTGGTATCACGTAAGCGTCATCATTTGGTGCATCAGGAATCCTTGGTTGGAGTCCGAGATATAATTCTAATGGATAGCTGTCTCAAAACATTATCATGTGACTAAGAATCATAATCAGTGGCTGCAGTTTGCTTCACTCAGCTTTTTCAGACAGTAATATCACGAATGTTGTAATATTGTCAAATTTACTTGCTTCCTTTCTGGATCAATTCCTTCATTCATTCTTGGGGCTTATAGTGTGTACAAAGTCCTGTGTTTCAACTTAATCATGCGAAGATCTACGCTGATGACTAACTCAGTTTCTTTATAAAGCACATCATATAAAAACAAACATAGAATTGGATTTGACGTATTTCTCCTCCGACAATAATCCCTATCGGTCGATGACTTACATCACGAAAACAGTAGAAGGAATCGAGAATTTGCAGAAAATGTCCGAATTCATATACACCAGTTTAAATGAATTCCGCCAACTATTTCAGTAGAAGCTAACTGAATCTCCTTCAATGCGCTTCCTTTATTCTATGTAATCTGAAGGGAGTGAGCGATTGCATCCCCAGAGATGGTAGACTCATGGGTACGTCCTGTAGTGCTGCTAATGAAGAGACCAGACTCTAAACTAGGCCTACGAAACAGTTGTACAGTGGTCTTTCTGATATTGGTAGTTTCCTCCTTTAATGATTCCCTATCTGACTGGAACGTAACTGTCAGCTAGCTCGTCGTCAAATTAGAAAGAAATAAGAACAATTCGTACAACTAACTATGGAGCCATCACCTTTCTCGATGAGCAATTTTAGTGATTATATAGGTTTAGGTTGAAAAAAGAGTTAGGAATGTGGAGGTGGTCAAAAACAAAACCCAGTATCTATCTGTATGGCCTTGAAATAGTTGGTCTGTACCAACCATATAGAAGGGCGTAGGGTGCCTGGTTAGCTCAAGAATCCTTGAGATGCTAAGAATCAGTGAATTGGGAATACTTACTGGTGGTGTTATGGCTTGAAATCCTTGTCCTCAATAACGCAGATCCATTGAACTCATGTTTTTCAATGTTACTATTCTTTCTCTTCATTCAACCACAGCTGTATGACAATGCCATATATCAAGTGATCCACAACGGATAACTCAGAGAAGCCTAAGTTTGTAGAGAACACGGGAGTAAGACGAAACTGCTTCCTACTATCACCGAAGTGATCGACCGGAATCTGAGATAGACCGTGTGTCAGCAGCAGTAAGACAGGAATATGTTGGGTTGACAAGAAGAGGAGATCTGGACTTCCCGTGGATGATTCATATCTAATCTCAAACAAACTCGAAGATCTACAGACAAAAACCAACAAACTGGCAAGAGAAGCAGTGAAGACAGGACTACAAGTGAAAATAAAGAAGACGGATTTGATGAAAACAAAATAACTAAACAACTAATAACAAGCACCAATCACTATCAGCGGGATAAATTTGAGAGGCAACTTCCTTTCTTCACTTATCTGGAGAGCATCGTTTCAACTGCAAGCGAACGACACCGATGAGGATGGGAAAACCGTCAGCATCGGATAGGCAAGACAGACCTTCATCATTCTAAAATCGGTTCGGTAATTTTCTGCACTCCCCCCCCCCCAGCATAAAGAAATGAAATCGGGATTTTCAACACGAATGTTAAGTGATTTCTGATGTATGGGTCAGATAATTGGCGCGTACATCATGAAAAGCATTTTTAACAGGCTACTGTAGACTTTATCAACAGTTAGTCGCCTTCACTGGTTCCATACTGAAGATCAGATGTCTGGCCAGAAAGAGTTAGAAACAAGAAACCCCAGGCAGGAATTAATGGATAACCTGAATGGGAAATGACGAGTTGGGCTTTGGTCTCAAGATGACATGGAGGTGGTCGTTTTGGGAGAAGGAGATGAGAGACTATGAGAAATCGTGGGGCCAGTCAGCTGAAAGGGAAATGCAGAAAATAGGACAAATCGGAAATGCGCTCCAATAGAAGCCCTATGCTTCCCGCTTAAGAACAATAATACAATAAATTTTCAAGAATGAAATATCGTTACTGATCACTTTAGTGTTTGTATCCATGACTTTATTTTCCTATGGAGCAAACCACAAAACAATCGTACACAACGTCAAATCGATAGACGTATTATGGAACGTTCCCTATCTCTCCAGCTCGGCAAACCAGGTTCGCTTTCCGTTTTACACAATAATCCTGTCCCAGTAAGTATTTTACAAGAAGCAAGTTAAATTTGCATTTCCAGTTGACTGACCGATTGCTACATTGATATTGAATTAAAATTTTCAGTACCTATGTTGACATGCCGCAGCCACCTAGTCGACGATGTCTGGGAGTTAACACGCTCATCCTTTTTTAGTGGAAAGTGACGAGCACAGTGAAGGATCCAGAATGCTCATTTTGTCTTAGTCAGGACTCATCATTGAAGCTGGATATACCTGCAATTGCCAGTGACAGAGCGAGTGGGTGACTTGAACCCTATTGCATAACGATCTAATTGCTGTTAAAGGTGCGTGCTGACTTGGAGTTTCAGTGACGAGTCCCAACTGGCACGTCTCCATATAAAGTGCTTGCCAGCATAGTAACCATTGTGAACCAAGCAAAATAACATGGGGACATCAGTACAATTTAAACACACAGCTAACTAATTATTCCTCATTCCTTCCAAAGAAAATAAAGAAGACATTTTCGGCTAACAAAAAACCACGTAATGTTCACATTAAATCATAGGAATTATTAAAGATGGTTTTCTGAGAAGAAACCTTCCTTTCCGACGAAGTAGTCCTCAAACAGGATGTACATTCGTGTATTTATAAGAACACTTTCCAGAGTGGTTAACAAAGAGAGAAAGCAAAAGTGTACATAATTTAGTAACATAGCATCTGCTGAATTTAGGACATTCAGATCCATTTAATAAAAAGTCCTTCAAAGTTATGTACAAGATCCGGTGAAACCTCTTTCTTAAAGGGAGTGAATTCAAGGCCTCTGGGAATAGGTGAGGCACCAGCAATCTAAGAGTTCAAGCCGACGCTATATATTCACCAAAAGAAATACTTCTAACCGTTGTTATCCCTAACATGGCCACCATAAACAGTCAATTCTTCCAACAGTCATTATCCTATCACTTTTCTTGTCCAATCTGCCTGTTTATTTGTGTTACATTTACGTTTTTTAAAATTCCTATCTGCATTACTGTGTTTTATATCTGAACTTACTGCCTACTTTGTTAATACTACACTCTTAATCCCTAATTGGACAAACAGCCAAGTTTCTCAGTGATTGTGATCGGGTTCACAATCCTTCAGTACACATAGTCGTCTTCTATACACCTGTGAAACCGAACTTCCTATCCATCTTGTTATTACCACGTCTTTAATTCCTAAGTGCACAAAAAAAGTCAAGTATCTCAGTAATTATGATCTTGCTGTCTTTTACCCGATCATCCTGTCTATCACACTTTGTAATCTTATTAATTTGACGTTTGACCGGAAACAATTCGGGAACTTCCTTGCCCATTTACTATAAATACACGGAAGAACAAAAAACGCACAGAATTTTTTTTTCACTCCGTAGTTTACAGTTGAAAGAAATAAAAAAAAATTCGGAGCACAAAAATTAAGGGGCATAAAATCAATAAGTGTTATACAAGAAAAATAAACAGACAGGCGGGCAGACAAACAAACACACGCGTGTACACACACACACACAGATATTCTCGCTTAACTCTTATTCATTAAAACCTTTCTTCTATTAACTACTTTTTCGTCGTTGTTCGTCTAGATGTCACCGTTGCTGTCCCACCAGAAGAACTTGAAGCACTACTGATAGCAGTATTAGTCCCACTGCTGTAGTGATAGTGACTTGATCCTTCTGAAGACGCAGTATTACTACCATTACTATTAGCACAACTACCACCGCCATTATTTTGACGTGACTTTTCACCAGATTTACGCTTATTCGTCGATGACTTCTTATTGTTGCCTGCACCGATCCCACTACCACCGAATAACGACAGGGAGGAGAGGAACTGTGAATAATAGAAAAACAAATTGAAAAAGAAAAGCATTTTGAGAGGTTTGATTGGATTTTGGAGAAGGATTTTTTCAAAAGCGTTTCTAAGAAAAAATGTAGCTGAGTCTCCTGGCTCCATCAGATACAAAACTTTTCACTTGTGTGTGTGTTACCTTCGCTAACCACCAGGCTAGGTGATAATGTTCTGATCAGTGCGTTTGTTTTTCCGTAAGCGGAGGCACGTCAGTGATTACAGTCAGTCACTGCAGTATTCAGCTTTACAAGAGTTAGGGATGTTAACTCATTTATACACAATGTAATGATGTGGCACCAATGACTAATTGTGCTCAAATATATACCTATGGATGACTACAGTCAGAAAATGTGAATGATCTTGCATAGAAAGGAAGTTCATGTTCAGCTTTGAAGATAGTCTTTTTGTTGAGTGAAGACGGGACGGGGAGTTCTCTCTTAGTATTTCTGCCGATGAGTCTCCATTGAGAATTTGAGATTCACATAAACTTTTCTGTGGAGGGGGAGTACAAGCAGAAAGTGTACGCAATTTTAGTGTTGTTGGGTTTCATGGAACTTTGCAATGATGAAGCGGCATTCGGACTTCGCGATTTTCAATGAGAATCTACCCCAACCCCACCCTACTTAGAGTCTTCCAGCTCCTTTTCCATTGTGTTTCAGGGATAGAAATGTGACAGTGGATTCTGTGCGTCAACCAGTGGATCAGGTTTATTTTTATATATAAAGACATCCAACTGTAAATGGTTGTATGTTGTCCATTCCATGTCGGTCTTCTGTGGATGGATCTTTTGTATCTTGTTAACTGAACATCCAGGAAGAATAATTTTCGAATTGGACTTTTTCCCTGGCGTGAATTGAATGAGATATTGAAAGCTATTGAAGAAATCAAGAATATCTTCCAAATTTTCTCTTCACTATTGTAGTTAATGAAAGCATCATCCAGGTATCTCTCGCTTGTAAAACCCAAAGGTATCGAATAACGTTAAGAAATCCACAGGAGATCTTATACACCAGATTAAGCCGTTTCTAGGTGAGTTTAATGTAATGCCCAAAATTAATAACCCCAGTAGGATGTATGGTGTTGTTAAAGTTCATGAGTCAGAATACCCTATTAGACCTACATTTGATTTTAGAAATTCACCCACTTATGAATTATCTAAGTATTTAGCCATGGTATTAAATCCCCCAAAAAGCCACTCGAAATCTAGACAAACTAATTCTTGCGAACTAAAACACAGATTAGATAATTTAAAATTAGAAAATGAAGAAAAAAATGGTTAGTTTTGACATTGTCAGTTTATATACACGTATACCAATAAATATGGCTTTAGAAGCAGTCAGAAACGAACTCATTTCTGACTGAGAACTCGAACTTAGAACAAAAATGCCATTAGAAGACATATCACTAGGAGTTCAACTATATGCCTGACTTCTGAAGTATTTAAATTCCAAGGAAAAATATACAATCAAACTGAGGGAGTTGCCATGGGATCACCAATATTGCAGATTGTGGCAGATATATTCATGGATAGGTGGGAAAATTTAGTGATTGAAACGTTCAGTCCTACCCACCCAAAAGTATGGTGGAGATATGTAGATGACACGTTCACTGTACTTAGAAAATAGGATATAGACAGATTTATCGAACACATTAACTCAAACGTGGAGGCAAATCAATTCACTTATGAATTGGAAGGACAGGAAGGGGATTTTAGAGTAAAAAGATAAGGTGGGAAGTTAAACACTAGTGTTTACACAGAACCCACACATTCAAACAGATATTTGAATTTCGGATCATACCCACACAATAAGTCAGTAAAAGTAGGACTGGTGAAATGTTTAAGTAATAGGCCACAAAAACTAAGTAGTACCAGGAAGTCATGCATATAAGCGAAGCTTTGAAACGTAATAATTACCCTGTAAATTTAAAAAAGAAGTATGTAGGAAAGTGGAAAAATAAAATTAATAGTAATAGTGTGGTGTTGTGATACAGACAATGGGTTCCTACGGAATATTTTTCTCATGGTAAGAATCATTGTATTTGTTGTTGTCAACGTCTGAATACTTTTCCCACAGTTTAATACAGCATTAGCGAAAGAATCCTAAATGTATTTGAACATTCTATTTCATGTTGTTTAATGTAAACCGAAGTCACACTATCAGTGATTACTTAAAGAATATAAACTGCACAGGTATAAATGGCAGTTTGATCACTTGAAAATATATCTTGGCTTCTGTGGCTTGCCTTCTGATGGTACAATAATAGTGATAGTGATGACAACAATAATATTAGTGACGACATGTATGTCAAACATTCACAGAATGACGCGACGTCACCTACAATAGGGAATATAAATCATCAGTAGTACTTCCATACAAAGAAGGAACCACGGAAACCTCACGGAGAATTCTTAACAATACAGACAGGAATAACAGTGGCTGGCATTCAAACCAACCACAAACTCAATTAGAAACAAGCTTTGTTGGTTAACGCATCCTGTGGAGCCAATTTAACAAAACTATTTAGTTTATCTAATACCCTGCTGGAATGATTGTCAGGTCAAAATGGTAGGACAGGGTTAGTCACCCAGACTAGTGGAGCAGCCCAAAAACCTAGCAAAATCTAGATTAATTGACAGTAATAAGACAAGAAATCTGGAGAATAGTTCAGCTATAGTACTTCACATCCAGTCACACTCACTAAAGGATGGGGCAAAATTGCAGTTCTAAAATCTAATATAACAGAGTTGAGGGAGCAGGATTGGTAATGGAAGGTTTATTAATCATCGAATCAACTGATGGAGAACACGTGGAACACATTCAAGATCTTTCTGAGACATCTGGAAAATTCTACTACCACTACAACGAACAGGGAGAAATAAAGAAAACTACAAAACGAAAGTTTCGAAGTTGTAGAGAATAACAATTGATGATATGACTGTGAGCAAAAATAAATTGTGTTCGAAACCTTATCATGCAGTAAATAATGCTGTTTCACTCACTGTGTGTGATATATCTACAATAAACAAATTAGTATGGAATTACACACTACCATAGTGCTGGCCAAGTTTTACGCATATAATAGTAACAGTGGTAGTAGACGAGGATTGAGAGGGAAGGAAGGTTGGGTATGAGTGACTGCGAACCCCAAGCAACACCCCATAAAAATACAACTTTAAACCAAATTATAGAGGAAGAAATTGACACAGAAAGTGGGAGGAACAGAGAAAAGCACCAGGCGCTCACTTACCTCACTCATATCAGGTATCTGCTGTTGAGGATTCAATATATTCATCTGCTGCATTTCTTTTTGTAACTCCGGATCACTAGTGTTGACTAATTTTGTGAGTACCATGACTAATAACAATGGGACTACTACATAGAGAACATTTGGATTCAATAAGAGATCCAAAGTGCGCAACTGCTCACGAGCCTATAAAAAAATGCATACATAAATAAAAGCGAAACATTTAGACACGCGAGAGCGTACAGAAGAGATATTTAAAAGATCTATTGTGAGAGGAAATGTGTACACCTTAGAACACTTCTAGTTTCCAACCGTCATTCCTGCTTATCATCCTGAAATCCTTAGCCAGTAACCAACCAAACCAGTCTATACTTACCAAATGATTATCAATGACTTTGTAGATTTAAGACTCAAATGTTACTTCGCAGGTGGGGGGGATTTGATTGGTTAGAGGTTTGAGATCACGAGTTAACATCAATTAGAGAACCGCTGAGAAACCAGACACAGGGAGTACTGGACAGCTGTTTTGTCAGCCTAGGCTGGGACTGTTTCTTCAGCGGTACGCACCCACTGGGGTTCGGACGCATGATCTACCTTCCTGTTATAGGGAGACCACTACGTAGACCAGTCAGCCACTGGGACCCGGCCCAGTGGTCTATGCATGAACTCCAGCTCCTGTCCACCGGCGATCTATATAACGCAACTACCAGCCATAGTCAGTGGAGAGTGCTTGTCCTCACTCCCGACAACTTGGTGGGCCCCACACTTGTCACGACTTACCAGAACACTTCAGATAACCTCGTTCTGTAGCCGGTTACTAGCGAGCATCGGACTAATTTTCAGGATTTAGTTTATAGGGTGGGGAGAATATTTGATTTGTTTCAAGTTTGTTATCATGGACTGATAACAGTTGCAGAACCATTGATGGAAGCCACTAGGGATCTAAAAGTGGATATTCAGGATACGAGGCTCGCTCATTGACTATTCAGACATTTGAACGCAGTCCAATAACACATCAATCCTATAACTCTTATCAATTCGCAATTTTTAAAACCAATGTCATTGGCGGGAATTGTTTGTTTCCGCATCTGACGACTTGGTCGAAACCACACTTGTCACAACTTCTCACTAAATCTCCACAGGCAACTTCCTCCTGTAGTCAGTCACTCATTAACTAGTGATCAACAAATTAATTTTTAAGTGTGTCAGTTTGCACAGAGATTCGACTAGTTTCCATTCCAATGGCTGGCTGAGAACTGTCAATGAGTTTGCCTAGTGACCTGAAGGTTCTGGGTGAGTACTGCTAAGTAGCAGTCCCAAACTAGGCTGACGAAACAGCGATCAAGTACACCTTGTTGGTAGTTTTCAATGGTTCTTCAATTGTCATATCAATCCGTGATCAAACTTGAAACTATAATTATGACAAATAATTCATCATTCTTTGTTACTATCCTTTTCTATGTTGGAAAATAAAAGCGAATAGCATACCAAAATGTGATTGATTGTATGGTTGAAGAGTTGAAAGTGAATTCGCTGAAAAATAACAAACCTATTTGTTAAACACTGCTTGCGCAGATGAAAATTATTCATATTATTATTACTGTTTCCTTGAGTCCTCAAGTGAAGCATAGGGCTTCGACCGGGGGACATCTCTACTTCATTCTGTTTTTTTTTTGCAGTCGTCTTTAGTTGGTTCTGAGTCTGCTCATCTGGAGCACACACCACATTTCACCCTGTTCTCTGCAGTCATCTTTATTTAGCTGTATAATTATCCACCACTTATTATCTCCTTCTCCTCCTCACACGACCTCCTCTACTTCACCCGCGAGCGATGCCCTGGAGTGAGACGTCATTCAACGGTCTCCTCAAAGTGTCCTATCCATTAGTCTCCATTTTCTTCAGAATATTTGTTGAGCAATAGATTCTTCGTTGGTTTGTTCCCAGAGTTGCTTGTTGCTAAATCCTTCTGGCCACATAATCTTCGGTAGACAGCCAGTGAAGTTATTCGTTGATACAAGTCCATCACAGTAACCTGTTAGAAATACTTGTTGTGATGCTTTGGAGAAGTTTCCCACTCATAAAGAAGAACTGACTTCACATTGGTGTTGAAAATCCGAACTTTGTTCCTTAGGCTGAAGCGGACTGGAGAAGAGTGATGAAGATCTGTCTTACCTCTCCAATTCTGGTTGGTTTCGACATCCTTAACTGTGCCCACCGCCTGTAGTTGAAACAAAGCTATCTGACCAAATAAATGAAGGAAGTAACATCTTTCAAATTTATTCCGTTGGTAGTGATTGGTGCTTCTTGTAGTTGTTGGTTGATTGGCTGTCTTCATCACCTTGGTCTTCTATGTTCACTTGAAGTCAAGTCTTCCCTGGATGCTTCTTCTTCAACCTTGTTGGTTTTCGTCTGTAGATTTTCCAGTTTGTGCGACATTAAACAAAAATCATCCGCGTGACGTACAGATGTTCTACAGTCTTCTTATCGGTCCAACGTGTTTCTGTTTTCTCGCCACGTGATCCGCAGCCGACTACTACCACAAGCAGGAATATTATCATCATCGGTAATAGTAGGAAGCATCCTTGTCTTACTGATTTCTGTCTCCATTCCACAGTTAGGCTTCACTGAACTTTTCGTTATGGACCAACCAACTGACACATGGGGCGTTTTCATATAGTTGTGGTTGAATGAGGTTGACAAGGATTTGGGCACTGTATGCCATAGTGTTGAAGTAGTTTCATAAGTACGCTTACCTTAAAATAGATGGCTTTCCCAGAGCTAGTAAGACGTAGTGGATAGGGGATCTCTTTGACAGCATTTGGTTGTGGCGCATTCAATTGACGTGCTCTAATACGACCTTTAGAACTGATATCAACACGGACACCCTAAAAGAAGAAGAAGAAGAGAAAATGATAAAAATATTGATTCTGCTTTCTCAAGTGTACATAAAATTAACTCATCACAAAAATCAGATACTCAATTAAAACAATAATGACAACCCAATAACACATGCAAAAAGAGTTGCATACAGACACTATTCAAGAGAGCCAGGGGTTTATTGCAGCACTCTTGTTTGCTTTGAGGAAAACTGAAGAAAAATAAAATCTTATGGACATCTTCCAAAAGAATAGATATCCACGAAACTTCATCAAAAGACATCTACCTCTAAGCCAACCAACCAAATCAAAGGTTCCCAATGAAAACACAGAGAAAATCGTCTTACCATATAAATAAAGAATTTCTCAAAACTATTCAAACCTTTAGGAATTGATTCCGTACACAAATCAACAGAATCACATAATTAGGGTGGCTCTATGTCAACCAAAAGACAGGAGGAACATTGTTGCAGAACATGAATGCACTTTTGCCAGATGGCTAGAGGCAGTGAGCAGACAGAAAGTCCCACCTATGCACATTAGGTTTCGTGCTTGTTTGCACTCACCAGTCAATTATGGCAAGGTGTATCTGATACCGCCTTGAAGGAATTAACCACATCCCTTCTCAGATTCGAACCCGGGTCACTCAGTGCTGCAATCAGAGACACGTCACCACTGAGCTATTCAGCCTCACGATTTAACCACCTCTTCAAGTCTGTAGTGGATATTTTGATGATTGGATACTGTAGGTTACAGAAAGAACGGTTATACAAGTCTAAAGACAAATCTAGTCTGAGAAGGACGAACATCTTGATCAAACGTGAAATGCCAAGTCTGAACATTACTTATAACCTAAGACTTGTCATATAAAACTTCCCCAAACATGTGGAAACTCTTGAATGAAATTTACTAGTAGTAGTGAGCAAAGTATTGCAGTTCCCTTTGTTTAATTTAAATACTCTTAAAAAGTCTTCCACATATTCTTCTACTGACGTTATCATTCCTAATACTACAAATAATGAGGTTAGTGACTTCGGTGGTCTTAACATTGTTGATGTTCTCAAGTGTGTGAAATTTTTAAAACCTTCCCAAAGCCGTAGTCCTGATGGTGTACCTGCTGTTGTCCCCAGAAGATATGCGGTTATTTTATGTTACCCTATTATAAACATTTTCAATATCTCCTTTTCCAGTAATTTTGTACCTGAAGCATGGAAAGAAATTAAGATTATCCCGGTACCTTAATCCTTTTCTAGTATTAATGTTAAATTCAAACCTATGCCACTACCTCTTCTTTTTTTGAAGTTAATGGAAAAATTACTTTTACTCAACCTTGAACCTTCCTGGAAAAATATTAACGACCCCAAACAGTTTGCTTATAAATAGGACAGGAGTATTATATATGCTGCTGCTGCTGTCTTACACCGTATGATATAGTTTCATCCTTAGATGAAGGGACCACATATATCCGACGTACCCTCCTTGTCTGCGCATCTGTTTTTGACTCTGACTTGTTTACTGAAGCTGGCTTTCCCTCAAGGTGCTACTCTTTCTCCTTCTGTTTTCCCTTCCTTTTTACATGACTTGTCTCTTTAGGAAGAAAACAACTTCTTTAAACACACTGAAAACGTGGATATCTCGCTGCCAGTTGCGTCTCGATCTAACTGTTCCAAACTGAATAGCTTTTTCTGGGATATCAGCCAGTGGTCTGAGCTAAATGGTCTTGGCTTAAATACCTCTAAATGTCAAACTATTAACTTCACCTTTACGCATAAAAATGTGATCTACATGAACTGGTCTGTTCACAAAATGTTGGTGGGATATAGGGCATTGAAGGAGAAACTAAGTCAAGCATTAAATGTCTTGGAAAAGCTCTTTCCTTCGATCTTTCTTCGTCATCCCATGTCTTGTTGATTTCTCACAAAAATGTTCCGTTTAACCTACCACTCTAAGAAGTTAAGACAATTAGGAATCACTCAACCTCTACTTTTACAATTCGTTAACTCTTGCATCTTACCTAGTGTACTTCATTGCTCCCCCTTAGTCTTTCCTGGAATACTCAAAAGTGACTATGTTAGATTGTGCAGGGTATTGACAGTTTTCAGTATGGCAAGTGGTGTGCCACTCAGTCAGATCGTTACTATCATAATCGGTAGACACCTGAACTCATGTGAGAAATGGTCTAAATCCATATTATCTGACTCTCAACACCCCCTTTATTTTCAACTCTCCCTTTGCATCTCATCAAGGCAGGACTAGAAATCACTATAAAAGATTATATGCTTGTACAACCAAGTATAGAAACTTAACGATACCGTATTTGTCCTGCGTCCTATGCCATCGAGATCATTTTTAGCGCGAAACCTAAGAATTACAATGTCACTAGAGAAATTAAAGGCTCTTTTATCCTCTCCCATTACTTGTAATCTATGGTGATACTATTTCAATTAACTTATAATTTTAGATATTAACATTATTATCATTATTCTACAGTTTTTGTACATTTTTAACTTTATTGTCACCGCTAATGCCAAAATAGCTGCTATCATCAATCCTGTAATATTACTTTTTTTTACTTTTGTCTCTGCTGTTGTTGAGTAAGTGAGATGCGACACTGTATGAAATGCTGAGAATTCCGCACTGTATCATAAGTACTGTTTTTGGAATTAGGCAAATTATTATTATTATTATTATTAGGTATTAACTAAACTAATATATCATGCGTTGAGTCTTTCATTTGCTGTAGACTGAATTTTCTAACACAGTCAAGTTTGCAATCGCGAAGTCATCAAGTTAGGTGGCTGGATAAAAGGGTGAACACACTCTGAACTGTTGTCATTTTCAAATGATAGTTGGAGGCAATAGGCCACAGGAAACCCTGGATCCATTTGATTCAGTTGGTTCTCACCCACCCATAAAATCTAATAAAACAAGTTATAATTCAAATTTTATTACAAATTTTGGCTGTAGATGGTTGAAAGCTGTTCGAATCCCAGAAGGGACATGAGTTCCTTCATGCTGGTTGTTGCAGGAACACCTTACTTTGACTGACTGGTGAGTGAGTGAGTGCCAACGAGCACGAAACCCAGGTCGACTAAGGCTTCCTGTGGCCACTTTTTTCCAACCACCCAATAATAACAACAATCTAGAGTACACCGTGATGGCGAACAACCAAGTAGCATGGTGATAGCCACCTTGGAAACTGATACACTAACAGAATTCAGTCTACACGAACATGAAGTAGACCAGACGTATGACGCTAGTTCCTTATTACTTGGTGTTCAATCAAAGTAAACAGTTAACATTTTCATATCTTCCACTTCTAATGACTATGTCTCACAGTCATAGAGGAGGACAGAGATAAGTGCTGCTGTTGTGCAGTACACACTTTCTCTGACCGATAGTCAGATTTCACACATCTACCTGAGAGATAACGTAAGTTGGCAAATACCACAGGAGATTTTAGTATCCGTGCTGAGATTGAGTCAGTAAAGTGGGAAATGTTAAGTTTAAAAATCACATAATGAAAACTAGTAATGTTAGGTGTTGACATTTGAAGGCGATGGATGGCGTTGCTATGGGGAGTCCATTTGGGGATCCCTTTTAGCAGATATCTATATGTCGTACATTGATAGTTTATAGAAAGATATGTCAGTGACACTGTAATCATAAATGATGCTTAGCCTTTTTCTGCCACTTCAATTTTAAATCGAATGAATGAAGTTCAAAACAGCAGTATATCACTTATGTGTGTAGAAGAGAATGATAATTGTTTATCCTTTTCTAGATATTGTATTGTTTAGTCGACGGATGGTCTGATGGATCAAAATACAACGATCTATTTGCAGAAAACCTACCTGGACAGAATAGTAGCTTAATTACTACACACAGTTTCTCCCTTTTTTGGTACAAAAGAGCTTTAGTGAGACGTCTCTTCAGTAGAGATTTAACGAATATGCACAGATGACTTACACTTGAATATGAAGAGAAGAAACTGACTGGTTGATAATAGTTATCCACAGAACTTCATAAGAAGATATAAGGATAAAAAGTGGTCAGTGAAACACCATGATCCATTCTCTAACTTGCCGTTAAGGCGGACGTATATATCAAAGTACCCTACGCATGGGTGATCACAGCAGCTTGGTAACTAGTTAAATATTGAATGTTGTAGTTAAAAAGACTTTTTGTGCAGCTACTATTCGAATAAATGAGAATGTGAAGCCCAAATACTGATCTGGACTCTCAAAACATTCTAAAACAATGTCAACTCTCACAGTTTATCTACTCATTTAAATGCACTTATAGTCACACATACACAGGAGGGAGGACTCATTGATCTTTGCAGGTAAGAGCTTCAAAGCATACGTCATTATGGTTTCAGTAGCAAATGGAATCCCCTCTGAACCCATATTAGAGGTGAGAAGAGACAACCTAGCTCTTCTGTTGCGAAACGCATTATACAGGAGATAGTACATAAAATTGATATTTCCACGCCTCTTTTGGGGGTGTATTCTAAAGTTTTTAGAATCCCTAGTGACTGGGTTTATGTCTAAACCACCTTTATGTGTCCAAAGCAACAATTTGCCATTACAGTATAGGCTTCCTTGGTAAACTTTGTTTTGATATTAGAGCAGTCGTACTCATAATCTCCATTCTTTGCTTTGTGCATCGGTGGCACAGTGGTTAGGACTCTCGCCGACCATGTACATGGTCCGGGGTTCGATTCCCTGTCGACGCACACCCGATATCTATGGTCGGCTTGCAAAATTTGGGCTACCGATATCCATGCTGAAAATCCCATACTTGTACTGAAAATACTGTGTGGAATCAATGTAATCAAAATATTAAATTTAAAAAAAATATTAAAATATGATCTCAATTGTTATTTTGAACTTCAGTATGTACTTTTAACTTGACCTATGTCCCCGTGTGTGTATCATCATGTTATTAAAAATGTTTGCGCAAATACATCATACACTAAATAATCCAAATAAATTACGTCTTCTTATTGCTTTGTCGAAATATGCTTATACTTATTCTGAAACTGATAAATAGACTTTTAATTCTCACGTCGTTGTGTCTTCCCGCTAGGATAGTAGTGGGCGGTCGGAGATCAGGTAGCTGTTTCTATACGACGATGCGGTATAGCCTAGCGATGTTGTCCTGATTGCCGCGTCTGTGTCCATCTCAGCGTCCGTCCCCTATTCATCAGCTCAATGTATTGCGACAGTATATATAACAAGGGGAAATAAAGTGATAAAATCTGAAGACAAAACAGTTCCTATAAGGAGAGGATTACCAGGATGATTGAAGTCCCACCATGAATTCTCTGTCAACACCCACGCACACAGGTCACGTGTTTCAGCCATTTTGGTTGCGATAGCCTAATAAAACTGATGAACGAAACTTGATCGGTTTTGAATGCACTCAATCTTCTGCACTCAGCATAAGAAACAATGATTCAGATTTTCAACACCAAAGTTGAGTGAATCAGCCAGTTCTTCTATACGGGTTAGGAACTTGGCGCGTACATCATGAAAAGCATTTCCAACAGGCTACCGTGGCAGACTTCTTATCAACAGCTCTTTTCCCTGGTTCTAAACTTAACATCAAATAGCTAGCCAAAAAGAATTAGCAACAAGAAACTCTGGCAGGCAAAGAACCCATCAAGAACCTACTCACTACCCACAAAATATTCCACAGAAATTAGAGATGGATGGGGCACACGCGGAGAAGACGGTCAGGTGACATCGTGCGTCAGTCAGACCATCGCTCGAAAGGGAAACGACAAATGGGGCGCCGGTCCGAAGGTGACAATAGAGTAGATCGTTTGGGGAGGAGGAGATGAGAAACTATGGGTAATCTTGGGACCAACCAGCTGAAGGGGGCAGAAGAGAATACGATGAATCGGAGATGTGCCCTAGTTGAAGCTTTATGATAAATACTTGGTCAAGTAATTATTATTTTCAAGAGTTAGTTCATAGGGAATTGATTTGTTCCTAACTTGACCATGGATTGCTATCAGTTAGAGAATCATTGAAAACCACCAGCCACAAGGAATACTAGACAGCTGTTTTGTCAGCCTGCTTTGAAACTCATCAGAATTGCACACCCCTTCCACCAGGGTTTGAACCACCCAGGACCATCCGATAACACATCAAGCTCTTTGGCGACCATCTAACCACTGGGAACCGACTCAATTAGCATCCCATGAATTCTTACCCCTACGATTCCGTGATTTTAGAGAGATTGGCACCAGGCAATGTCATCGCTGGCGAGTATTTGTCCCCATCGTTTGGTTTGCAATGGTTCTTTAACTGGTATCAGTCCGTGAACAAACTTCAAACGAATCAAATCTCCCAGATAACCTAACAGTTGAGAATCAAAGTAATAAACAAAACGAAGTAAAAAGTGACAAGAGGCTAAGATACTTTTTTGAGTGGGGTGGGGAGGGGGAGAAGAGTTTTGGTGCAAATTTCGCCACAGTAAAGTAAAAAAAACTACGTCTGAACACTCCATATTAATTTGTTTATTAGAGATATATCACACACAGTGAGTGAAACAGCTTCATTTACTGGATGACGTTTCAAACACAATTTATTATTTGTTCATAATCATATCAGTTATAATCACAACTCCGAAACTTTCGTTTTACAGTCTTTTTTTATCTCTCCTATTTGTCGTCGTTGGGGTAGTAGAATTTTCCAGATGTCTAGTTTGGACAGGTGTTGAATCATTCCTACTACACGTGTTTGCAGCTGATTCGATAAATAAAGCTTTCATTGTCAATCCCGCTCCCTTCATCTTGTTATATTAGATTTTAAAACTGTCATCTTATCCCATCCTATTGTATGATCGTGTGTAAGTGCATGTATTGAATACTATAGCTGAAATATTCTCCAGATTTCTTGTCTTATTAGAGTCAACTAATCTAGATTTTGCTAGGTTTTTGGGCTGCTCCGCTAGTCTGGCTGACTAACCCCGTCCTACCATTTTGACCTGACAATCATTCCAGCAGGGTATTAGATAAACTAAATAGTTTTGTTAAATTGGCTCCACAGGATGCGTTAACCAACAAAGCTTGTTTCTAATTGAGTTTGTGGTTGGTTTGAATGCCAGCCACTGTTATTCCTGTCTGTATTGTTAATAATTCTCCGTGAGGTTTCCGTGGTTCCTTCTTTGTATGGAAGTACTACTGATGATTTATATTCCGTATTGTTGGTGTTAACGCTAGTAAAACAAGAAATATGGAGAATAGTTCAGCTATAGTACTTCACATCCAGTCACACTCACTAAAGGATGGGGTAAAATTGCAGTTCTAAAATCTAATATAACAGAGTTGAGGGAGCAGGATTGATAACGGAAGATTTATCAATCAACGAATCAGCTGATAGATAACACGTGGAACACATTCAAGATCTTTCCGAGACATCTGGAAAATTCTACTACCACTACAACGAACAGGGAGAAATAAAGAAAACTGCAAAACGAAAGTTTCGGAGTTTTGGAGAGTAACAATTGATGATATGATTGTGAGCAATAATAAATTGTGTTCGAAACCTTATCATGCAGTAAATAATGCTGTTTCACTCACTGTGTGTGATATATCTCCAATAAACAAATTAATATGGAATTACATACTATCACAATGCTGCCCAAGTTTTACACATATATTGATGTCTGAACATGTTTTTTAATAGAAAGTTCTGTGTGATTTAGCTGATCTCTTTTTATGTAACAGCTTCAGCAGCTATATATGTAGAAGACGTAGGTGAACTGTGCATAAGAATAATTTTGGAATGTGGTAATATGTGAAGCAACCAAGAAACCATATCGCTCAATAAATATGCAGAAGGTTAGAACACTAATTTCATTGAGTTTTGCACCTTTGAAATATAAATAGAACACGGTAAAGTGTTGGGTTCATAGGGCTACGATGACAATCCCCTCCAACGACTCTCTCAATAAGAAGCTCACGATTATCAGAGAATTACCCAGAATATATGGTTATCCAGATAAGTTCACTGAGAAAAATATGAATTTAGCACTAAAGTAAGCCGCTAGTATGACAACAGCTTCAAAAATGCCCTTGTTTATGTAACTGCGATTGTCTTGCTGATAACATCAACGAAATAATAACACAGAACCTGAAGAATGAGTGAAAAGATCACATTCAATGCAGCATAGGTATGCTCTACTTTTCTTCACGACACTCCGAATTTAGGTTCGAGAAATGAAGAGAGACTACCTAATTTCGTCTCCTGCTCTATGTGTACTTACTACAGTTTGACTGCAGCTGCGGAGCTCGCTACATTGGGCGTACAACTAGACGGGTTGATCGTCATATTCTCAAACATCATACTGCATAATGGTTAAACAGTGGACAAACAAGATCTATTCGTACCACTGTTTTAGCACATCCTATAGACAGTGAGCATAAAGTTGGTGTTGATACGACGTTTAAAATCATCTATCGGATTCCAACTAATCTTAATTTAGCTTTACGAGTTCTTCTAGATACAACAGCTGAAGCCATCGAAATCAACTCCTGAAGAAATCAAACCTGTGCGTGAATTCAGAAGCAATTCATACAACCACTTTCTTTACCTAGGGGCAATCATTAATTACATGAATGTAAAACACTGGCAATTCTGAGAAATTCGTCTTTAGATGAATAGAAAAACCTGACAATTTCTCTATTCTTGAAAGCCTTCTACAAGTTATCATTGTCCAAATTATTTTATTTCTCCGACTCCTTCATCTTTAATTCCCTACTACGTAATCAACTGAAACACTCAGTTACTTTAAATTACTCTATTTTTTCCAAAATTATGCATTATGAAATCCAATAGTCGTAACCATTTCTACCCGTTTGATTGCTTGCATTAATTTTCCTGGTTAATTATCACCCCGGGTTTGATATGTTGATATTGATTAGATATTGTTAGCAAACCTATCGCCATTATATTAGTAAAATAAATTTATGTAAATATTTGTTCGCGTTTAATCCTTTTTCCTTCAAAATGTCTAAATGCGGAGTTTTCTATACAAATCGGAGATACTCACTGAGAAGACCGTTGAGTTACACCACGCGAAAACCGGGGCCATCGCCCGAGTGAAACCCGACGAGCAGAAACTGCGAGTTGGGCATGGGTTCAAAAGATTGACATGAAGGAGAGAGTGTGTGGTAGTGAGGACGTGGAAATGAAAGCTTGCAGGGAATCCTGGAGCCACGTGGACAAAGCTTCAGTGAGCCAGGTGGAATGGAGACATATTACTGATGGTCTCCCACTTCTGGTTTTTAGTATCCCAAAGACCCCACCCAACCCGCCAGATAGTCTACTCCCCTCTACCTGTGGCTAGTGCTCAAAGATTTCATGGAATGATGCCTTGTTTTGCTTTGACCATCACTAGCACTTTTCCAACCTGATCCTGTGTCAGCCAACATTTCTCGTCGAGGAAGGCGATGGCTACGCACGCGTGTCCTAAACATCTGCTCATTCGATGCATCTGCTTTACGACCTCACCGCCAATGACTTTCTTTACTCCTCATCTAACACTCGACGTGTACCTATTTCAATAATAGTCACCCCATTACACCACCTAACACGGTGGATAGAATGTAGACACACCTGTAATCAAAGACACCTAGCTTTTTCATATCTCCCACATTTAATAGCCATGTGTCACTCACAGCCATAAAGAGTTGGGTAGCTTGTTGGGTTATTGCGATATTCAAGCCCCTGGAGACTACCAGCACCACGTCAAGACAGCAGTTATTGGTTTGCGGAGGGGATAAACACACCACCACTTATTCACTGGCAATGCAGGAGTATATCCAGATGACGACTGCTCCTGGATTTCCACAGCTAGCGACGACCACCTATCGATCAATCGAATAGCATGATTTTATCAGAAGCAACCTCATATATAGAGACAGATACCCACTTACCTGGAAATAATAGACTGGATTTATCGCTTCAATGATATATGAACCAGAAGGAATATTTGTCACTTCGAAACTCCCGTCCGACCTGACAAAACCAACATACTGGTCCCCGGCGACATTAATTCTTGTATTAATATGCCAATCCGACGGAGCTTCTGTTGGGACAACAACCGTTCCTTCGATGACATAACCAGAAGATTGATGAAAATGTAAAGGGATAAGCAACGCAATGACTATAAACCACATTTTTGCACAAGATAAGTTTATCACTCCGATGATTCCAAGTACGAACACAATATGCGATACTGTAGAATATGTCAATTGAGCTGTAATCAGGAGAAAAATAGAGATTAGTAAGCCAATAAGCGAAATCATGACATTCTATTCGAAAGGTTCGATGGAAGGCCATAGATAACTTTGAAGGCGTTTCTTCTGTTTTGCCATCACCAATCAAATGAGACAAAACAGAACTTCTTATAGATTTTACTCGGCTTTTCCTAAACCATGAAGGAAGATGCTCACTAATACGTTTGTTGAGCTGTCTAGTTATTTGTCACATATATCGCCTTCTCTGAAGAAGCTAAAGGAGTTTGATTCAGCTTATACGTGATTTTTGACTATATATTTTGGTGGTTAGTAAAGTCTGAGTAATTCTGCTGAGGAAGTTGTAGCTTACACACAGAAATGTTTGCAGAAAAATCTTGTTTTGATTTCTCAGACACGCTGGGATTATCGTACGTGGTGTAATGATTAAGTCTGGCTCAGCGCTCAAATTATTTCGAGAAATTTGTAACACCTACTGCTTGGATATTTATAATCTTATGTGCCATGACAGAGAAAATAAATCCAATAAAATAAAAATATGCATATCGTGTTCCCTCAATGTATCCCGCTCGGGGTTCGAGCCTTACTCAACCTAATTTAACCTAGGCAACTAAGTGGTAGTATCACCATATATGAAGCAATAAATGTAGTTTGTATCAAGGTGCCTAACAAATGCAATTCATAATAATGAGTACAAACAATGAAATAAATTACATAAAACAAAGTTCAATAACCAGTATTTTAATTGTGAGAGGCGAGGAGACAGGAGCACGATAGATCAATGAAAAGACTACAAGATTTGGACTTCGCGGATGACTTATGCCTCATGTCACATAAATTCGAGGACTTATGGGGGAAAATCATTCCTAAGTGACACTAAAGCGCCAAGTATTTATGATTAATTAGATACTGCGATCGCTATTATTTACATATCTAGCTATTATCAGTGCAAAACGAAACACAGAATGGAGCTAGTCTCCCGAGTCTTACAGTCGAGGGGATGTAACGCATACTTTCAAAAGCCCCACTATTCAGACTTCCAATATCCAATTTCCTTTTTACGAGCTAATATAAGCCAATTTGATTTCTTTGTTCTGGCCTCTTGATTGTGAGGTATAGGTTCCTGATCTTCGGTAAACGTCTGCGTAGCTCGTCCCGCCACTCGACTGTCGTAGCTTTGGTTGACTCCAAAAGGAGTAGTGATGGGATTAATTATATGTGGTTTGTAGTATGAGGTGTCTTAAGACTGTTACTACTGTGAATGGAGTTGATCCTTTCACCAGTTAGTCTTCCGGTATCGTGGGAGGTGTTCGTCATTGTTGAGTAATTGCTCCACTGTCTTTTTGCCAGTTTCTGTCCAATTGAGGAGGCGGCTGAATCAGGTAAGGAATGAACCCGGGTTGTTTCGATTCAGTTGCGGAAGCTACTGAGTGTAGGAAGATCTGAGAAGTTAACTGAAACGGGGTGGCTGCTATTCGGCAGATTTGGTGTTGGGGAATTAAGAGAACCACCCTTATCTGTCGGAAAGCGCTCTAACCTTAAAGTTCCTGATTTTGAATAACTTCAACAAAAAGAAAACTAAAAGCTGTCTGAATACCACAACAATACCAATAGGTAATTCTCGAGATCTGCTTCCAACTGAATAATTCATGAGATATAGCATCAAATCTAAACTGTAATTGAAAAAATACGGTATGTCAATTTCACACGGGAATTATAAACGATTACGTTAATTGTGGAAGTCAAGTAGCATTTTTGTACAGGTGCTGACGTGAAATATAAGAGATGCAGAATGAACAGTAATTGTAAGTAAATGATTCATAGAGTGTCTGAAAGTCCATAAAACTTCAAAGTCACCGGTAAGTACACCATAATTGTGACATTTCCAGTTGTATATGAGACCAACTTTGAACTCGTCAGCAAATTTCATGATAGAGGTGGTTCCGTTATTCACCAGGTGGGCTAACAATATTCCGAATTAGTTGAGGATAGCGGCACTGTTTCAGTGCCTTCGTTTAAGGCAGTACATTTGAGAAAAGAAGAAGACACAAGAAAACCTCCAGAGAGGTGCAGAAGTATATAATAGGTGTTAATAATTCAAAACATATATAACAAACATGGGGGTTCATAATTTTTTATCGTTTTTTTCATTAAAAATACTATTTCCCCCTGAGGTTTTAGTGATGGAATTCTAGTCTTTCTTGCGAAAAGAAAAATGAAAAAAAGTTTAAGTGAAAAAAGGTGATAATTTTACCTACTTATATAGGTTGAATAGGAGTTAAACACAAAAGTCAAAGTGCGTGAACTATGTAGAAAAAAGAGAGGGCTTAATAATAACTACTGTTTTTCTGAAGTATACATTTAGGTGTCCTTCTGAAGCAGGGGACTCATACCATGTACTTGCATTCGGAGAGTTTGTTATTTAAACTTCAGCTTTAGGCAAATTTTCAACTTCTGTTGGCTTTTTTGAAAAATTTTTAAAATTTTATTTATTCTCTTATCTTGCAGAAGCTATTCGAACTCAGGAACCTTAGCAATAGAGTGCTGTCCCACGGATTAGGGTGGTTCTCGTATGTCCCCACCATCATATCCGCTGACTATCAATCACCACCCTCCCACACGAAGGGTCAAAGTTCAAGTCAAAGAAACAATCAAACAATGAATAATATATCATTGGTAGTACATTCACAAGATATATACAAGAAGGAGCTGGAGACTCCTTGGAATGATAGTACACATTTGCAATGTTTGATGCAAACCATATTGGTCTAAGCATGGAAACTATGATGTTTTCTATGGAAATATAGCTTTGTTCAAACATTGGTGTTGTAGTGTTTTTAATCAAAGCAACCAGACTTTAAGCAAGCAACAAATATAAAGAACGAGTATTTTTCAGCTTTAATTAAGACCTAGGTAGTTAAGATCAAATAGGGTATAATATTGGGTAAATAAAAACACTATCATGAGGTAGATAAGTGATATTCCTGTGGGAAGTGAATTCAAAGATCCGGAAGATTAGAACCCGTAGGACGAGCTAAACTGTAAAATGTCTCAGGAGTTTCTGTAAGGCTCGTGGGGTGGCATCTTGACAAGAAGCTGAACAGGCTTGTAAGTGGTGGGAGCAAATGAATTTTTTATAATTTAGATTTGTACAACCCTTATTTTTCTGTTTTTGTTAAGGATCCAGACTAATGTTTGATTCTCGAGCTGCCAAAAATGCACGTCGCTGTCCTACAGATCGGAGCGATTCACAATTTGACCGCTACAATGTCTGCTGATCAGCATGCAAACAAATGAATGAGGTATACTGTTGAATTGGTTGCAGTTAGAGGAAAGTAATATCAAAGTTAAACACTTTATACTTGCCCACCATTTCTGACAAGCGCCCGTTCTTCCTTCTTATCCTGTGATGATGACGACATTTTTTTGTGGTTTTCATTGTCACATACATTGTTCCTTTTGCCAAGGAAAGCACTTAGGAAATGAGAACTTAATGTTATGGTGTCATTCTGAACTTTGAAAGATGGTCCACACACCAAAAATATAGTTGTTGTGGAAGCTGGATTAACATTTCTTTCTATCTGTTCAAAGCGTTTTCCCTTGCGAAGTTACTTATCTGTAGTTTGTAGCATTCCTATTGGTTTGGCAGGAAGCTTGATGTCATGTTCACTTTTATCAGTGGTCCCTTCATGGATAATAGCATGCAGTGACTGAATATGCTTAAGTATTTTAACCTGATTGCCACGAAGTTTCTCTAGATAAGATAATAATAAATGGTCAAAAACTTGAGTCATAAATGCAAGTTCTGTATCCTTCATAGCCACAGATAATTCCTGAAGGAGTTCAGACTACCTTCGTGATCTGAAAATTAATGGTTATTAGCTCTGAAATAACTTACGTAACAGGTGTTCTAGTGATCAGATGCACCTACAAGCTACTTTTCGATTGAATGGTGATACTAGCTGTAAGCAGTGTTAAGTTTTAGAAGGAACATTCATAGTATTCTTCTTGTCCCAATGAACACTAATATCAAGATAAGCTGATGCCACTTGACATGGTGAGCAGTAATGGTCTCTTACCATTCCATGTGACAATACGAATTTCACTCATATTACACTTTCGCCGAGAAATCTTAACTGTGAACTTCTTCAGAATGGGCATGATCACTTCAAAGTTCAGCCGCATGCTCCATTCATAATATGACTTCTTCGATGTGCAATAAATGAATTCACCTATTTTGGACGAAAATGAAATAGCTTATAAGCTAAAAATAAGCTTATTACACACTTCACACACTCCTCAGAACGGATATCTAATATTAATTAGTTTATTCTCTCTCAAGGGCCTGAGTCTCATAGAATAACTGCCACAGCATTATTAGTTACATGTAGTCAATTTATAGCCTGAAAATCAAAAACTATCCACAAATACCAAACCCACAAGTCTCCCAAACTAAAATAAGTCATTTTTATGCATAATTTCTCCAAGTGAATGCCCTTCCTCGTATTAATTCATCTAGGATATCAAAACACTTTAATGCACGTAGTACAGGAAAATATCACCTTTTTCGACCAAAGAAGCCTAAAACTAATCTAATACCTCCCTATAAGTATAAAACTCGGACTCTGTGGTAGAGTACAGTTACAATATAGATTGGAATTTATTTTGATAAATCACACAGTGTTGTACAGTAATATTAACTTATGACGTTTCAAGAACAAACTATTGCTCATAATCATATCAAGTCACTCGCACAGCTTTTTACTCCACTTATATACATGAGTGAAATTGATTAGACATTTGAAAAAAATCAATATAAGATAGTATACATTCAAAAATAACATTAGTATTATCAGTGGAATGCAATAAGATAGGAAATAATGTTTTATAGTAAAAATAAGTAACTTGTTAGGATGTTATGATGTACGTGAATTGAAATAAAATTTAAAGATTATCATTGTATGATTTGACTGGCAATAATAATAATAATAACCACGTCTTCCACACCTAGGAAGGAATACAAACACTCTATCAACGCCCTGGTCCGTAGTTGCGTCTGTATTATGAACTGAAATCCCAGCTCCTCAAAATCTTCGCATAGGTGTCCTCACACTCCATAGCACCTACCATGGCCGCGTCACAGGAAAACAAGATAGATTTCACTGATATCATATTTCAATCAGTGAACAAAATTGAGGCGGTAAAGTCACTGTGACCTGATGACCCTCATACAGTGGTTTCTTAGTGGCTAATAGGTATTATTCTAGGTGAATTGACCACTATATTCAGGCTAATTACCTTCACTGCAGTGTTACCCACACCTTAGAGACCTCTCCCCACGGAGAATCCACACCCTGTCCTTGAAAATGCGGGCCAACTGTAGGTAATGAGATTTGTGCGGATTGATTGCATTATTATTCTCTTGGGTTCCAATTAGAACAAAGGGCTTCAACAACACATCTCCACCTTGTTCTGTTTTCTGCCGTCCTCTTCATCTGTGTCCACGAATGCCAGTAATCTGTCATCTCCTTCCCAAGCGATCTTCTCCTTATAGCCCTCACACCGACGACCAACACGTCGCTTCATATTGAGATTCCACTCAAGTTATGGCCTGGAGAGAAATAACATTAGTCGGTTTCCTCAATGTATGCCCAATCAATCTCCATTTTCTCACATATTTACTGGGCAGTCGGCTCTTGGTTGGTTTGTTCCCAGCCAGAGCTCCTTGATGCTAATTCTTTCTGGCCAGTTGGCCATTTGATCTTCAGTTTGCGGACAGCGAAGACAGCCGTTGATAAAAGTCTGCAGCTCATTAAATATCCTTTTCGTGACACGCCGGACAATTTTCTGACCCATGTAGAAGAACTGACTTATTTCACATTTGTGTTGAAAGTTCGAGTCTTGTCCTTTTTGCTGAGTGACAGCAGGAGATTTGCAAACTGGTTTCAGGTTGATAAAGGTATCTTGCCTTTCCGATTCTGACTTTGACATCTTCGTCCGTTCCACCTGTAGTTGAAACGATGATTCCTAGATAAGTGAAAGGGGTAACCTCCGTCAAATCTCTCCCGTTGATAGTGACTGGTGCTGGTTGTTGTTACCGTTGGTTGACCACAAACCTGATTTACATATATTCAAGTTTCGGCCTGCAGGAAGCTGATTGGTCAAAGGCTTGTTCACGAACTGACACCAGTCATATAATCACTGGAAATCGTGGGAGTAATTGAAAGATATCTCGTTCTCGTCTGGGACTCTTCATAAGTACACACACGGTTTTGAACATAGGACTATGCGATGATAAAGTGAGCTCATAAGCCAACTGGCCACTTGGACCCGACTTGACATGGATAGGAGCATCATCCCACGCTAGTTTTTTCAGAGGAGTTAGTAACCTTTATTGGGATTTGACAAGGTGGCCAGCCTTTCTTCCAGTCAGTAGGAATCCTTCCTTCTTTTGCAATAATGGTGTCAGAATATCTGATTCAGTCTAAGTGTGGATTTGGATTGATTTAATTTAAACTGCTAGATTTCATCTCTAATCAACATTAGTTAGGGAGATGAATGGATGCCAGGGAGCACTAGGCAGCTGTTTTTTCTGTTTGGGGACTACTTGGCAGTACGCACTTGCTATCTGACAAAGGATCGAACTCAGTATATTCAGGTCATGAGCCCAAGCTCGTTAGCGCTTCATAGGCTTGAGTTGGAGTTCGATGAACAGTAGGTTCTTACTTTGTCAGCTCACTATATAACGCTACCATGAGCATCGGGATCAGCAGTTACATCAAGACACTGGAAACAACTGTCAGGAAATACATCACGGCATATCTGGAAAACAACAAGTAAGTGTTTAGATCACACCAATATCTCAAGGAACCATCTCATGACTTGTTGTATCAGGAGAAGGCCAAGCTACGCCAGGAAACAGCAAGAAACATACCAACGTTGCTTACGAAACCTCAGCAAAGCTTTTGAAACATTATCTTACTCAAGGTTACTTACGAAATCGGAAGGTTTTGGAGTCAAGGGCAGCTTGCTAAACTGGGTTAGGGAATTCCTCAGGGCTAGAGATAGATAGCCAGAATTAATTCAGAACTCACCTCCTGGACAACAGTAATTAGTGGAGTGTCGCAAATAGATGGAGAGGAAATACTGGCCAGCCTTGATGTGAGCAGTCTCTATGCTAAAATATGCATTCAAATGGCCATGAATTTACTGCAAGCTAGACCAAAAGAAGATGATGTCTTAAAGACAGGACACAACTATCCGTAGAAGAGATAATAAAAGAGGTTGAATTCTGTCTAACAACAACATATATTGCAATCGAAAGAAAAATATACCAACAAAATCAAGCAGTAGCCATGAAATTACCCTTCTTCTCAATAATAGCTGAAATATTCAGAGATTTTCGAGAAGAGAATGCACTTAAACCATTCAGGTCATCAATAAAATGTTGTTGGAGATATACAGACGACACGTTAGTAATAATGAAAAAGAACAATGTTGAAAAATTCTTCCCACACACAAACGGTCATGTAGATTCAGAAAATTCACCATAGAAATAGAGAACGGAATTGAGGGACTGCCTAAGTTAGACTGCAAAGTACAAAGAGTAACAGATGGTAGCATAAAAACGAAGCTTTGCAGCAAGACTGCACACTCTAGAAGATTCCTTGGTTATCTCTAAGCTCATCCACTCGTGGTAAAACGGGGATTAATACATACTATTGCAGATGGAATACCTAGACCTACAGCAACACCAGATTACCAGCCAAAAGAAATAAACGTATAATTCAAAATGTCACTCGACAACAACTACCCAGAAGAATTCATCAGAGATAAAATAAAGAAGAGAAATAAGAGGGCGAACGCAGAGAATGACGAGAAAGAGGAAGGCAAAAAACAGTCACAATACCATACAAAAATGGCGCGTCAAAGACAATGAGAAGAAACCTCAAAAATATTGCAATTCGCACCACATTTAAACCAACGAATCTAATTAGTAAATAAGTTAAATCACCTGAAAGATCCAATAAAAATTCTGAGTAAAATTAATGCGCAAATATTTTGTGCTGAATGCCCAAATAAGTATGTGGATCAAACATCCAGGACACTCAAAATAAGAGAGAATGAACGTAAACGCCCAACTAAAGGTCACCCAACAGGAACACAAGCTTACAACAATTTAGGAAGACAATTCATTTATAGCTGCACATGCATGGGACAAAAACCGCAATATTAATTGGAACAATGTTTGTATTCTGAAATCTAATATGAACAAGTGGTATGAGGAACTTATGACAGAATCTATATTCATTGAGGTCACACCAGATACATGTAACAAGGGTGACTTGGCACAACTGTCAGTACACTGGAATATAATTCTTTACACACATAAATGAATGGACAAAACAAGAACTACATGTATGATCACGAATCATGAAAGTGTGAATTAAAAACAAAAGAATTTCAGCAGTTGATATGATCACGGGCAGTCAATTTGCTCTAAATGTTACCAAAACAAGGCAAAACTGATCTGCAGTATAAAATGATATCATTCTATTTCACAGGTTCTCATCAGCTGCAAACTACCTGAAATTACAATGGTTATAAATAATAACATTTCATACTTCACTGTTTGTAAGGTAATAGAGAAAGCATTATAAGATGAACGCATCCGGAATATAAGGAATTAAATTTTATAGTTTAAGTTACCATCAGTTTATATACTATCAAACTATGAAAAAAGAAGGAAAATGGGGGTGAGAGAAGACAGAAAACAGAAAAATCTAATAAACAGTGTCAACATGACAACTCAACAAGGTCAAAGTTCATCAATTTGAAAACTTGCTTAGTGAGTTGACCTCACTAGTGTCTATGACTAATGAAAGTGATATGGTTACCAAGGGAGTGAGAGATTGACTACACTCTTTTTCTGTGTGCATAAGTTTGGTCTGAGACGTTTGATTGCAATTGCTTCAGCAAATCGCAGTAGATTCGCTGTCGTTTGTATGTTTGATATTTTGGAGGATTTGGAAATCTCGACAAAATGGCCCGTATCCACAAGGTGTCTGGTAATTGCACTTTGTAAATATTTGCTTCCTTTTAAGCATAAGTTTCTCGGAATATTCTCTGAAAACCTGATAGAAGCCCTCCTTTCTGTCCTTCCGATATACTTGCTGCCGCATGTCCACGTAAATTTATAAATGCAGTTGGGGGTAACATTAGCAGGGTACTTATCCAGTTTCGATTGGCTTATACAGCATGTAGCACTGTATAGTGTCAACAGATTGGCTGCGGGGAAGCATCTCTTTATTGCTCCTTTCATTCTCTCTTCAATCTTTTGCGATACTGTTTCTCCTTTGTATGGGAGGCAAATGAACACTTTCTTCTTTTCAACTGTTGGATACTTCTCTTTCTCATCTCTTTTTTGCTATACTTTAGGATAAATCCTTTTGGATACCAGTTTTCCTTAAGGCATTTTTCGACAAAGCTTAAATCTTCTTCTATCTTGTTGGGTGAACATAACTTCCTAGCCCTGCCGTACAGTGTCCTCACTAATCCCCGCTTATAGCTCATAGGGCAGAAGCTGTTGTAGTGAAAGTATTGTCCGGCCCAAGTTTCTTTTCTGTAAATGGACTTTTTGACCGTTCCATAGTCTCTTCTTTTTACATTTAGGTCTAGGAAATTGAACTCATCGTTGTGTTCGTATTCCATGGTGAATTTAATGTTTGGGTGGACCTCATTTAGGCGGTCAAATAATACGTATGCCTGACTCATGTCGTTACAAACAACAAAAGTATCATCGACGTATCGACGGTAGTATGTTGTTTCATTGATAGCGTCACTCAGTCGCGTCTGTTCGAGATAGCCCATGAAGATGTCTTCTAGAATGGGTCCTAGAGGTGAACCCATGGCGAATCTACTACGATTTGCTGAAGCAATTGCAATCAAACGTCTCAGACCAAACTTATGCACACAGAAAGAGAGTGTAGTCAATCTCTCACTCCCTTGGTAACCATATCACTTTCATTAGTCATAGACACTAGTGAGGTCAACTCACTAAGCAAGTTTTCGAATTGATGAACTTTGACCTTGTTGAGTTGTCATGTTGACACTGTTTATTAGATTTTTCTGTTTTCTGTCTTCTCTCACCCCCATTTTTCTTCTTTTTTCATAGTTTGATAGTATATAAACTGATGGTAACTAAACTATAAAATTTAATTCCTTATATTCCGGATGCGTTCATCTTATAATGCTTTCTCTATTACCTTACAAACAGTGAAGTATGAAATGTTATTATTTATAACCATTGTAATTTCAGGTAGTTTGCAGCTGATGAGAACCTGTGAAATAGAATGATATCATTTTATACTGCAAATCTTTCTTCATCGAAATTTATCAAGGGAACCAAATGTATGAAAAACTGAACACTGCTTCTTGCCAATGCAAGCTTGATGACGTGATGTAAAGACGCATTCTTTTCCTTTATCTTTTTAGTCAAATTAATTTTCCCCATTGTTTATGTCTCAATGGGGATTATTAATTTACTATTATTTATAAACTATTTACATATAATTATAATCTTTTGAAATCACAGGTAGTTTGAAATTTGCATTTATAGAATGTCATTTGTGACATGTATCAGTAATTTGCTCTTAGTTGGGTACTTCTCTAACATCAAGGAATCAGGATTTGAAATTGTGTGTTTTTACTTGCTAGTGTTGACCTATGCGAAGGTCATCTTAGGCTTGAGGAATTTTTGAAAATGCCCATCGTATCCATCCTACAGTCTGTATTGTTTCAAAAGCTACAAAAAGAATATTGTAATTCCTAATATTTGCAAATTTATTTTGATGTTTTCAGCCCAAGAAGAGTTTGAAGAGTTATGTTTCAGTTATGGCTTGGAGTTGGATGAAATTGTAGGAAAATATTCCCCTAATATATTTGCATGTTTCAGACCACTGAGAAAGAAATGGTTACTCGAGAGAAAGGGATGGAAAAGTCGAAGGGTCTTAGCACGGAGCCAGTGTATAAAGTCGAAATTCCTGCCAATCGATATGATTTACTTTGTCCAGAGGGTTTATCTCGTGCACTGATGATATTTGAATCGAAGTAAGACGATATGTTCGTCTTTAAATTATTTCAGGATGAAAACTCCACTGTATACATGCATAAAGACTCAAAATCCTGTACAATTGCACGTTTTGCCCTCAGTAAATCTGGAATGTGTCTAATTGTTTATGATATTTTTGTTCAATAGACTCAGGCTGTTAGACCTTATGTTGTTGGAGCTATATTAAGAAATATTGTTCTAGATAAATCCCGTTTAAATAGTTTTATAGATCTCCAGGAGAAACTTCATCAGAATCTGTGCAGGTAATCCTTTTGTTGTTTGCTTTTTCATGTACTTCATTTAAAAATGCATTTTGTAGATCATTAGATTTGGATTGTTTTGATTGAGAGATTTCAGGCCTGTGCTAATCATTTACTTATACGCTGCTGAGTTTAGTTAATCCTTTTTTAAACGACTCAGTTGATGAGGACTCAGACACCGCTTCTTCTAGTAATCGGTCCGAATAGTTTGTGTGACTCGTTGGGATAACCAGCGTACTCGACGGCAACATATTTCCTCTTTGGTTGTTAAACCCTCCTTCTATATCGCCTGAGGTGTTTCAACCACCTAGTGAGAAAGAGAAAAGAAAAGACAAATCATAGCCCCTAGTCATTCCCTACAATCTTGGACGTAATGGGATTTCTATAAGCACGATGTGATAAAAAGAAGAGATTCAAACTGCTGAGTCTCTCATCGTTTAATATATTACTTAATTCAGGAATAACCCCTGTTGCCTTTTGAGTATTTTCTATAATATATGGGTCCTCCCGAAGAAATGGGCTGGATGCATGCTTCTAATTTTGTCCTCACCAGAGGTGTGCATAATCGTAATGCCTTTCTTATCATCTAATCTTGCGTTGTCTTCATTAAAAGTTTATTTACTTCGCCTTACAGCCTAGTATTACTGTACCGGGCTCCGTTTTTCGTAGTCTTTATCGACTACGTCTATCTGAATATTCGTTTGTTTAATCATGCAGTTTTTTTCATGATTCTTTTTATCACAAAGTGGTCGTTTTTCATCTTTGTTATGCATAGAATTATTACCACTATTATCATGACTAATTGCATAATTTATACACACAGTCGTATATTTTCTATCGACAAGTCACCATGATTGGTTTATATTTAATGGTATGATGGGGGGAAAGTTGTATTTATTTGTCAAGTTATGTGGGTGTATTAGAGTGTGAAGCCTGATGAGACATCTGGAGATACTGTTGACGCTTACTAGTGTTGTTCTAAACTTTACTTTTATTATTCCCTTGGGTTCCTAGTCGAACATATGGCTTCAACCGGGGCACATATCCATTTCGTCTCGTTTTCTGCAATCCTCTTTGGTTGGCACCACGGTTTCCCGAAAGCTTTCACCTTCTCACACGATATCCTCCATGTCACCCTTGGACAAACGCTCAACAAGTCGTTTCCCATCCACGTTACACTCGAGCGATGACCTAACTGGCGCAGGATGTCATTCGACGGTCTGCTCAGCGTACATGCTATCCATCTCCATTTTCGGAATATTTGTTAAGCAGTAGGTCCTTGGTTAGTTCGTTCTGAGAGTTTCTTCTTGCTAATTCCTTTGATAGGGATGCAGTGAAAGTAGGTGTTGATATAAGTCTGCAGTAGTCTGTCAGCGGTGCGTTTTGTAACTTATGCACTGAGTTTTTGGATCATTGAAAAGAACTGACTTAACATTGGTATTGTTTATGTTACGGAAGACAGAAGATTCCCAAACTGATTTCACAGTGGTGAATGTCTTTCCGATCCTGGTTCCTTTGGCATCCTCATCCATTCCGCTGACTGTAGTTGAATGGATGCTTTCTAGATAAGTGAAGTGACATGTTCCACATTCCTTCTATTGATAGTGATTTGCGATGGTTGTTGTTGTCGGTTTTCCTTTTCGCTTCTGTTTTCCCTATCTTCTGTCTGTCTGGATTCAACATAGAACTTGGCACCGAAGTGCAGCAGTTCGAGTTGCCACGTTCCAAATAGCACACAAAGGTAGACAGGAAAATGAGTGAAGAGAATCAATAGAGTTTAGACAAGTATAAGAGTGAAACAGAATGAGTAATGGTAGAAAGGAATATGAAAGATTACAGAGACTGAATACATCTGCGTCATTGACAACGATTTTGAGCCATGTCACCTATTGTCTCCAGCCATTGATTCTTAGAGTCCCGAGGGCCCCAACCCGGAAGTCTACATCTCCCTACCTGACTCAGTTTAACTGTCAAGGATTTCATGGATTGATGAGGCCATGTTTTTGTTTGGCCACCACTTACTCTTTTCCAACCTGCACCTATATCAGCTAGTAATGCCCGTCGGGGGAGGCGATGGTTAGGCATGCGCAGCACGTGACCTAGCCATCTCAATCTATGTAACTTTATAGCCTCTTCGATTGATTTTCCCTCTTTGCCCCCAACACTCTACGCCTAACGTCAACATTACTTACCTTATTATACTTCCTAACGTGAGAAAGAGATCATAGACATCTATGATCAAAAACAGTCAACCTTTTCATGTCTTCAACTCGTATTGGCCATGTTTCAGAGCTATAGAGAAGGACGGAGCGAACTGCTGAGCAGTACACACGTCCCTTGGTTGATAGCCGGATGTCACGCCTACGCCAGAGATGGTGTAAGTTAGCGAAAGCAGCCCGAGCTTTTTGGATCCGTGCTGAGATTTCGTCACCAATCAATCAATCCGTTGGTGCTGATACAACTTCCCAAATAGGTGAAGTGGTCAACATGTTCTATCACTTCACTCCCTATCACTAAGCTAGGAGTTGACGTAGTCCAGTCCTGTAGCAGCATCTTACATTTCACAGGGGCGAATCGCATGCCAAACATACGAAGATTGCTGCTCAAGGTGTTCAGAAGACTCTGCATTTTGTCAGCGTCCTCCCCTAACAGGACTATGTCATCTGCATATTCTAAGTCCATAAGACTATTCCCTGGTAACAAGTCGATTCCTAAGTCGTTAAGTTCAGTTAAGGATACTTCCATTAGCATATCTATGATGAAGTTAAACAGAAAAGGGGAAAGTGGACATCCTTGACGGACACCACTGGTTGTTATCAATTCAGATGACAATTCCCCATAAGCCCTTACACGGCTACGTGAGTTTGAGTAGAGTGCCTTGATTAGTGCAATGTACTTTCTTGGCACTCCCTTCATAGTCAAACATTGCCATAGTACCTCTCGATCCACGGAGTCGAAGGCCGCCTTCAAGTCAAGAAATATGGCAATTGTTGGACGCCTAAAAGTGTGTCTATGTTCTAGGATCTGTCGGAGAGTGAAGATATGATCTATGCACCCTCTACCTGGCCTAAAGCCCGCTTGATTTTCCCTCGTTTGTTCCTCCCGAGTTCTGCTTAGTCTGTGCATGATTACTGAGCCTAGGATTTTAGAGACTATGTTCGTTAGGCTGATTCCTCTATGATTATCACATGAGGACTTGTCTCCCTTCTTGAATATTGGTATAATAAGTGACTTACCCCAGTCTGATGGAACCGTCTCTGATTCCCAGACGTTACCTAGTACCTTAGTTAATCTACATACTAGTATGTCATCTCCATATTTAAACACCTCCGGAATAATTCCGTCGGGTCCTGCCACTTTGCCTCGTTTCAAATTACAGATAGCTTTTGTGACCTCACTTACAGACGGCGGGCCAGTGTCTATATCCCATTCGGGTGTGTGCTGGATGGCGGGGAGGTTCAGTGTGGCTGTAGGCAAGTTAAATTGTTCCTCAAAGTGTTCTTTCCAGCGTTCAAGGCGTCTATCCTGAGAGCTAATCAAGGAGCCATTTTTCTCAGAAATAGTCTCACTTATGATTTGCCTTCACTCACGCGTTTCCCTGATGAGTCTAAAGAGTTGCCTAGTGTTGCCTATCGCCGATGCTTTTTCCATCTCTTTCGTCTTTGTCACCCACCACTGTTCACGGTCCTTGCGGAGACTTTTCGTAAGTTTTTTTTTGTCCAGCTTTCGCTCCTCATTGAATTCGGAACTCGCCGGAATAAGTCTTCTAGCATCTATCAGTTCGGATGAGGCAGTCGAAATCCAATGGTTTTTACTCACCTTTGGATTTACCTTATTCACAGCTTTTACAGCTGTACCTATCGCTGACAATATTTTTCCAGGCTTCTTCAGGGTGAGCACAGCTGTCGAACTCAGATATGTGTTTAGCTAGTTCTTCCTGAAATAGGGACTTAGTTTCCTGATCGAGCTGGGGACGTGATGGGTTTACCGCTAGCTGTTTCCTACGTCCGTTCAGTCGTAAGCACACACGAGCGCGGACCAGTGCGTGATCGGTATCTACACACGTGTTCCAGAAGGAGCGACAGTCTCCTACCGACCCACGCCAACGATAGCTTATTGCTATGTGGTCTTTTTGTGTCCAGCGTTGGTTTGATGATGGGGGTCGCCAGGTCAAACAGTGTCTCTCCTTGTGTTTGAAGTTAGTGCTTACAAGAAACAAATGATTATCTGAACAGAACTGTAGGAGACGGTCACCGTTGTCGGTTCGCTGGCACGGAATTCCGTATGTGCCACCGACATTCTTCTCAGATTGACACAATTTCCCTACTTGAGCATTAAAGTCACCAGCTAAAACGACTATATCTGAGCGTTTAGCCTTTCGCAGCAAACTAGACAGCTTTTGGTAGAACTCATCCTTCGTTTCATCCGAACTGCAGTCAGTGGGGGCGTAGGCGGAGATTACGAAAAGGCATCGGCGAGTAGTGCAGTCCTTTCTCTTTTTTACTGATCCGTTCAGACGGACAGCACACATTCGTCTATCTACCGGGATCCAGTCAAGTAATGTCTTTTCTGCCCTAGTACTCAAAGCTATCCCTACACCAGCTAATCGTCGTGAGCTAGCTGTGGCATCCCCTGACACCCTCAAGGTGAATTTTGCAGATTCATGCTGTTGGCCAGGTAGGGTTAGGTGAATAACCACACTTGGGTCTTGTATGCGTGTTTCTGAAACACAACATACATCAATGGCTCGGGATGCCAGAGTCTTGGCTAGTGATGCTTGTTGTCCTATTTGGCAAAGTGTCCTAAAATTAAATGCTCCTATATGAAATTGGTGGAGTGGCTTTAGGAGACTATCGGTAGTGGTTTTTTGGCTTCCGTCGTTTTCAGTGCACACAGAGTGAAGAGGAAGTGAAGAGCCATCAAGTAGAGGAGTTGCATCAGTAGAAGGAAGGCAAGATAATAGACATGAAGATGAAGACAAAGATGAGTGAGAATTAGAGAGGTTTCGCATGCATTTCGGATTGTGAGGGTGATTTTTACTTCCCGGCTGCCTACACCGTGGAAGTTAGTTGCGTGACCGCAGAGCCCAGGGGACAACTGCTTGAGGCCGGTCACACGCGGCCTGTTTTTGTTTGTTCTTTTTTATTTGGTGTGTCTCAGTAGCATATTTATCACTTCTGCCCTGTGATACGGCAGCAGGAAGTGTTGTTGTTAATCCGGGCCCCGACCGATCCATCATGATATTTTGTGATTTTGTTTGAGTCATAGCATTGAATTGGGTAGCTGCTTTTTGTCTAACCGCTATCCAAACAACCTTTCTGGCATGGTAGGACCTCAATCGACATAAGTCTCAGGCAGTATAGCTTGTTGGGTCATTGCGGTGTTCAAGCCCGACCACCACGTCAAGGTAGCAGCTTTCGGTCGGGTTTCTCTATGTTCACCTGCAGTCATGTCTTCGCTGCTTCTGCCAACTTGTTGGTTTTTCGCCTCTAAGTCTTCGAGTGTTTATGTGATATGAGATAAATAGTCCACGCGAAGTTCACATCTTCTAGAGTCTTGTTGTTGGTCCAACGTATTTCTATCTTCTCGTTCCCATACACAGTCTCCCGCATAATCCAGTCAACGATTAGGAGTATCATCGGTAATAGTAGTCAGCCTTGTATAATTCCTGTCTTCATTTCAAAATGGGCTTCACTGAGTATTCCGTTGTGGATCACTTGACAGATGGCATTGTCATATAGGTGTCGTTGAACGAAGTTGATAAAGATTTGCTCACTGCACTCCATAGTGTTGCAGTAATTTCCAAATTACTTCGTCGAAAGAAGACACGCCTTCGCTGGATAACAGCTAGCCCCGCGAAGGCTTTCACCAGTGCGCGGCATCATTCCGTCTCTCTGACTCCAGAGAAGAATAAGCTCATTTTTTTATATATTTTTTTGTCGTGCTTTGAAGTTTCTGCAGCGCTTAAATTGATTTGCCGTTATAGGATCGTAAGTCTTACCTCTTAACCAACTATCCCTCTTCTCCTGGGCTTAGGACTGTCCGGTAAAACTAGAGGAGTAGCAGACTAGACTAGCTTTGTCAGTAACAATTACTCGTTAAATATGATGTGTTCATGTAACTAAGTGTAGAAGCCATATGAAGAGGAAGTTGTGGAAGGAGAATATTCTTTTCGCTATATCGAAATCAGATATGTGTATGTCTCGTACTTTCAGCTGCGTAACTATTCTTCTGTTTTTTTATGTTTATAGTGTCGTTCATGTATTCTTGTTTCTCTGTTTCTTCAACCTCTTATTTTATTTTAGGAAACGATCCCTGGTAGCTATAGGAACGCATGACTTGGACACTATAAAACCACCTTTCTATTATGATGCCAAACCACCGAATGACATCCGATTTGTCGCATTGAATAAAACGGAAGAACATAATGCTGCTGAGTTAATGCAAATTTTCTCTGTAAGTTTTTGTAATGTTTTGTTGTTGTTTTTATTGTGTGACATTGTTGAGAATCCATTCTATCCACGGAATAACTTAATACCAGTGAACAAAGACGAAAGAAACCTGAAGTAATTCAGTGGGGATGGTGACTAACAGTGTGGAATCCAGGATGCATATTTCGTCTTATTTGGAACTACTCGCCAGCTGAATGTACCGATATTCCCCCAACTAAGACTCAAACCCAGTGATAACCCATCAGTTCAAATACCAAGGCTTTGTATCCAACAGAGACCGAACACTTAGTCCAATCAATTAAGGGGTTAATCGAAATTGAATTAAAACAAATGATTACTGGTGCCCATTACCAAAATGGTCTAATGCATAACACTTTGGAGTTTGAAACGATGGGTTATCACTGGGTTTGAGTCTCAGTCGGGGAAACACCGTCTTCACTCACTGGAGGGGTGTAGGTACATCCAGTCCCAGATAGGAGGTTGAAATGCGCATGCTGGATTCCACTCACCGCTAGTCACCATCCACACCAGATTACTTCAAGTTAATCCTCTGACTTTGCCAAAGCGTCCGTACTAGGTAGGAGCCGACATGTCAACAGAAGCCGAACACTTCGGTTCAATCAATCAATGGGAAAATCAAAATTGAATTAAAATGAAATAAAAAAACAGTGTGGCTCAAGTCTGAACTTGGTCGACATCTGAAACCAATATCTAACTTCACAAACCGCATGCAGTCGAAAATCCTGGCTGAAGAAAACCAAAAAGCACTTCATCGTCTCAAGGAAACTTCATAATATAATCGTAATACTAAGATCTGATAAAGACTCAGTGGTGGTTTCACACTACCTCTGATGCAAGGCGCCGTGTTAGGTTAGTAGTGGGGGAATTCACTTGGTGAGGTTGTGAAGCCGCATCGATTGACGTGTCTAGCCATCGCCTTCCTTGGTGGACAGCGTTAGCGGACATAGGGTTAGATTGGAAAAGAGGCAGTGGTGGTAACAAAACTTCTCATCAGATCTTTGATAGTTTGAGCGAACCACGTAGGGATGTTTAGATTACGTGGTTGACTGGTTTGTGGTTCTTGGGATTCTAAGAACCAATGACAATTGGCGATATGGCTCAAAATCGCTCTCAATGGCTCAGATGCATTCACTCTCTGTGATTTTCCATACCCATTGAAACCCTATTGTTTTTCCATGTTACTATTCTAACCCTCTCAATATTCTGTTTATTCCAGTTCTTATGAATGATTTTCTCTCTCTTTTGTCATCCTTTGTGTCATACATTGAGGGAGTGTGGCAACTTGAAGTGGTGCTCAAATTTTGCACAAAGTTCATTGTTGGAATTCAGTCAGTCAGGTGTAGCGTTGATGGACGAGACAGACTATTCTACGAAGATGAAATCCATTTCAAACAACCCATTGAAGTCTAAAATGGAGACTTCAAACAAACACAGAACTGATGTGATTGAGAAGCTCATTGGGAAATTTATTGAGAGAGCTATTTTAGAGTAAAATTGATCGATAACAGAAATTACAATGCCTGATATGTTATGTTTTGATTTGACACTAGTAACTAGTGTGATGCGTCTAGTCCTCTCTTTGGTGTAGACTGAATTCTATCAGTCAGGTTGTAATGTGGCCACCATTCTAGGTAGCTCGCCATCACGGTGTACATTGTTTGTGATGATATTAGATGGTTGGAGGCAATCGGCAGGAAGGTTTGTTATGTCCTATCGTTATGTTATGACCTGTGGAAAATACACAAACAAGATATTTCCATGAGACCTATACTTTCTACGATAAATTGACTTCAGTACAATGTTGTTTGTTGTCCTGTTAGAAACCTGTTATAACACGAACATTTCCAATAAGTTTATGGTGTCCTTTCTATGATGTAACCTCTCTATTCAAGACTCTGTACAAGCATTTATTTTCGCTTTAGTTATAAATTAATAAAGGGGAAACAAGCGTATGATGTGTAATTGTTGTTGTTGATTAGTTGTCATTATGCGTAGGGATCTCTTTGGCGTGATATGACTCAAAATTCTCGTTCTCAATGGTGCAGATGCAGTTTCAGTCATTGTATGATTTCTCAGATCCACTAAATCTTTCTGTGTTCCTATGTTCCTATTCTCTCTTTGTGTCATATATTTATGCTTATTATAATTCTTTTGAATCCCTGTTCTTCTTTCTTTTTGTCTACCTCCATGTGCTACATTGAATTTAGTAAATTGGAGTGTTGCTCAACTTCTGTGCAAGGTTCTATGTTGAAACTCCGTCAGTCAGACAGTCAACTTAGGGATCATTGTTTGAACTCAAATTCACCGGAGCAGTTATCTCATATGCCAGGTTATATGAAGTACACTTATTTTTGTGGGGGTCGATGATACTACCCACTTTTACTGCCCTCCCTTCAGGTTGAACCCGGTGGAGTGAGACTCAAACTCTGGATCTATTAGCTATAAGTGGAGTTCTTAATGTCAACGAATGACTGATTGGCTGGATTTCAACATGGAACGTTTCACAGAAGTGCACCCGTTCGAGTTGCCACATTTCATTAAGCACACAAAGAGGTGAAGCTACTGGGCAAATTTAAGCATGAAAAACTGGTAACATGGAGAAAAACATGGCGACTTAATGGATCTGGGAAATTATACAATTTCCCAGGTAGCCATGCAGTCTACACCTTCCTACATGTCCGTCTCGAAGCAGCATTAGTTAAAAGACAACATGGATTGAAGTCAGGTCTTGGTTTAGTCACTCTAGCTAACTCTTTTGCGAACTGACTCTATGCCAGCTAACTTATCGCTCATCGAGGGAAGCATAAGCCAAATGAGCCACACCAGCACTCGTGGATTATAAAATTTGTGTCATATAATTCACAGTATGCCTTTGTGTTGTGAGCTGAAATCAATGTGGAAACTTGTTTCACTCACTCATCATAAGGAACAAGATTCCGATTTTCAAGCCTAATATCTAGTCAGTCAGCGCTTCCATTTCCAACAGGCCACCGCAAGCTTTCATCAACAGGTGTCCCTTCGGTGCCTCGATATTGAAGATCATAGGGTAGGTCAGCTAGAGAGGATTAACAATAATGAACACTCTGGCAGCGTAGCAAACCAATCAAAAACCTATTGCTTAATCAACGAAAATACTGATGGGAACGGAGATAGATTGGATGCACTCAGATAGGACCATTGAGTGAAATCGCGTGCCACTCTATCGGTTCCCGAGTGGGAAGTAAGCGATGGGTTGGGCGTTTGTCTGTGAGTGACATGGAGGAGATCGGGTAGTGAGGAAGAGGAGATAAAAGCTTATGGGCAATCATAGGGCCAGCTAAAGACTGTAGAAACCGTAATGAAATGGGGATGTACTTGGCCTGTGAAAGCCTATCTTCCACTTGGAACCCAAGGGAATACTATTAATAGTAGTCAAATAATATTAGGTATCACATTTGTGCCTTAGTTGAAGTTGGAACATAAAAATTAGTTGTTTTTTAATCGATTAATGAAGTGCATGTCATTACTTCCAGGATGAAGCAGTCGACAGAAAGCCTTGCATCTAGACTTCGTACTTCTTGGTACTCGTGCCATAAAAAGGCGCAGCTGCGCGGTTTCATCACTCTTGACAACTTGGTGAACCCCATACTGTTCACAAGTTCTCACTTGAACACTCTAGGTATCTTCGTCCTCCTGTAACCAGTCGACTACTAACGAGCTTCAGATTGATTTTCGAGAGTTAATTGTTAGGGAAATGTTTTTGATTTGTTTCAAGTTTGATAAGGGATCGATATCAGTTAGAGAAGCACTGAAAACCACTAGCAGGGGGTACTGGAAAGTTGTATTGTCAGCCTACTTTGGGGCATCAGATTAATTTCCAAGAGCCATTTTGTGAAAGTCTATGAGCTCATGTTGTAATCAGAAATGTCGCTGGCTCGAACCCTGGTGGTGGGTGCGTACTGTTAAAGAGCCAGTTCCGAGTTATGTTGGTTTTCAAATGGTTCTCTAGCTGACGTGTCTATTGGTGATATCAGACTAGAAACAAATCAGATTTCCTCTCCAAACCGACTCTTGAAAATGTGAATTTGTTAAAATTCAGACAGACACCAAGAATTAAATACATGACACTAGTTACAATCTATTATTTTTATTATTATTATTACTATTTTTTATTATTATCGTTCTTGTTATTTGTTTGTTATGTATAGACTGATCCACATTTGAAACACTATCTTCCACTCATTCAAGATAAGCCGAAATATCCTGTTATTGTGGATAGTTCGAATGTCGTCTTATCAATGCCGCCGATCATAAACGGTGAGTGGTTTTTGCGTTTCTTTTGATGCCCCTTAGTTTCTCTTGAAGGGGGGCGAGCTGTTCTGTTCACTTCTACAATGTAAATGCTTGATTAATTTCAGCGATACAATACTCGCCAACCAAGGACTTGGTTTCAGGTTGGATTGCCGGCCACCAGCGCACTGGCAAACTTCGCTGCCTAGCCCTGGCAGTGTAAACCCGGTAAAAAGACTAGTGACCCCAAACTCCGTAAAAATGAACACCACTGTCACTGAAACTTCAAAGCTCAAGGAGCTTGAAACCACCTTATGTTCCACTTGGAACGTGAAAGAATAAAATAATAATGTTAAAATATGTCACCTGGCAACCTACATGTGATCCAGTGTGTTTGACTGCGTTTTTCACATTTATTTGAATGGTAATTGGACAATTCATTCTCTTAGATCTTTTGACTTACTGCCTTGTAATCGACTTTAGCATCTGAGTGAGATAGCGCTTACAGAAAGTTCAGTCTTATGAATACATGTGGTTCACACTTTCGGCAAAGTGAAATGAGTCTTTCATGGTGTACAAAGCTGACCATTGACAAATAGGTTCCAACTTCTGTCCATTGTTAGTGATTTTAACTTACTATTTTATTATTAGGAAAATACAAACTTGGTACATTATGGTCACCACCAAGAGATGCGCTACATAAATTGTTGTCTCATGGGTTGTGTGAGGGCTTGGATACATCCTATCCGGATGCCCAAACCGAAGCAGGTGGGGTGGTTGTCTTAAGGAGTCACTTTCAGGCCTGTTTACTGGAAGTCTGATTTACAAAAGACTGAAGCGTCTGTATACCCATGGTTTGCGGTGACCAAAACAAGTTCATTCGTCATTGTACTCTTTCAAGTTCTGGAGCCCATGTACTCACGCACACACCATAAGGTAGATTTGAAGTCAGTCAAGGTTTTCCAGCTCCTAGGTATAGGTAACCTTTCATGTCCTCGACAAGTCTGGTTGTAAGCGCCAGACGTCCTCAGTGAGTAGGACAACTTACTTGATGACAGAGGCTATGATTGTGTGTGTGTGTGGCCACTTTGAGAGAGAGAAACCTAACTGTCTATTCACCCATCATCGGCCGTAGCAGGTCGTTTATGGTTCCATCTGATTGACATTGCTGTTTCGTGACGAAACACCTACATTGAAATTTTAGGTTAATGCATCACTCACTCAGTGATAACCTCTGCAGGTTGATCCAACTAGACAACTTACGAAATACCTTGCAATCACTGTGAGTTAAGTCAACTACATAGGTCAAACCAGTAGATAGGGGGAAGTTAGATTATCAAAAAATGAGGATTTAGCTAAGTGTAGAATGATTGACCCCGCAATTGCACTGCGTGCATCAACACACAACCACACAACAGGTCGGTACAGAGTTACATTTCTAAAAAGTAATATACATAGATGCAGATAGAGATTGGTTGATTACTGAATCTTTGTTCATCGAATCTACTGCACGCAGCACATAAAATAGGAATGACTCATCACCAGCACCACATATAAGGAAATATTATTACTACCAATCATTTCAAGAATTGAGAAATAACGGAATTATACAAAAGAAGTCAGAAAATTTTTTGAGTAATGTCATGATATGATTATGAGTACTCGAAATGTGGTCGTCAGTAAATATTACTGTATTACAACACCGCGAGACTTTATCAGAATAAATTTTGGAATTATACTCTTCCACAGTGGCCAAGTTCTATTCTTACACGTATAACTTATTTTATACTATCTTTCAGGTGAACATTCTCGTATTACAACAAAAACGCGGAACATTTTTATTGAAGCCACTGGAATCGATTTGCACAAAGCTATTGTTGTTTTGGATACATTGGTTACAATGTTTTCAGAGTATTGTGAAAAACCATTCACGTAAGTCCTTTTCCGGTTCAACTGAAACTTCTATTTTCAGATCTTAATTTTGCAGGGATTTGGTTCATTTCAAGTTTGATCATGGGACTGATATCAGCTAGGGAACTATTGAATAACAGGGAGTACTGTTTGGAACTCTTCAGTAGTACGCAGCCATTACCTTAACCTTACCTCTGGAGATCTAACCCAGTACATTCAGGTTACAAATTAAGCTCGTTGACCATTGAGCCACCCACTGGGATGGGATTCAATGACCACTGCATGATTTCTAGCTTCTGTTAATTCGTTATTCTAAGCGCCAGGGCTACAACTTAGTGTCACTGACGAGTATTTGTCCTGCCACCCGACTACTTGATCACGTTGGCTGGTGGTGGCGCTATACGTCGTGAATCGGCAGAAGTTAGAATTTACGGATCACTAAATTCCGTTCCACCGGGCGAATAGCGAGCCGAGGTAGCTTCGTAACCTGAATGCCCTGGGCTCGGTCCCTAGTGAGTCCGTACTCCTAAGGAGTTCCGAAGTAGGCTGACGAAACAGCTGTCCAGTACACCCTGTTGGAGATTTTCAATCCGTGAGCGAACTTGCAACTTTCATCATTGAAGTTTCTTATTATTGATTTCAATGAATATCAAATCTGAGGTCATTAGTATGGTTATAAGATGGATATATTAAAGTCGTGATGAGACATTTTGACTAATGAGATGAGGAGGCTCCCACTATTGTCAGGGTGAAGCATGGTATGGGATTGATTGGCTGGCGGTGGCGCTTATATCGTTCAACCAAGAAATGAACATGGTTGGGAAATTCGCTCAAGAGACAATTGTATGACAACTGTATGGCCCCCGACTTTGAACCTGAATGGAAACACTACCACAAGTTGAGGTTAGATCCTCAGGTAACATAGAGGATACCATGTGAGAAGAGGGGAAGAAAAATGAAGACTTACCAGACAGTTATGAAGTTAGCTAATGGAAGGACTTTAGAAAACAGGGTGAAATAGTGATGTCCTCCCCCCGGGCTGTGAAGTCCTATGTTCCACTCGGAGATTGGTTGGGTAATGTAATGTAAAGCTTTCTGGCTGTTTACTCTTTCTTCGTCTTGTGATAGAAGAAGAAGACAGAAGACAAGGGCCAGGCAACAGATCGTTTATTTAGGAAATCAACACATATTTATATATTTTCATGTACATTATTTTAAATTATTGTAAGCAAACAAATACAGTCTTCTGATTGGTGGTTTCTCGCTGAACGTTAATCTTTCATCTCTTCGTAGCCGTTTCTTGAAGTTCCGATTATCTATCTGCAAATTGTATCTGCATATGTAAAGTGTGCTGTGATTGATTGTTGAGTCAGTCTTTGTTCATATTTTTCTCACGACCACTATTGAGAACGTAAATATTGACGTAAATTACTATCTACCAATTTTGGTTAGCAACCAGCCATCACTACAGAGGGAGGTATGGTTTAACCTATGTTATAGATTTATTAGCTACCTAGCTGACGTTTATAGTTTAAAGCGAGTCAGCTACCTGGATAGAAGAGATTTTTCGTGTCCCAGGTTATATGAGTCACCCATCCACCCACATATTATATGAGTGTCGTTAACTTGGGAAGGGAATTAGTTGCAGTGGGATTCGAACCCGTGACCCGCACTGTCTGGTAGTTGAGTGTTAGAAGCCGATAAGCAACACCTTCAAACTTGAAGACTCAATTAAATGTAAACAGGCAGGCTTGAGTGTTGTGTATGTGAACAATCATAAATTGATCTAATTCTTTTCTTTATTTTGTGTTTTTGTTTTTGTGTAGAGCTGAACCAGTAGAAGTAATTCAACATGATGGGAGTCGATGTCTATACCCAGTAAGTTTTGATAAATGTGTCATTATTATTTCTCTGGGTTCCTAGTGGAACATTGGGCTTCAGTCGGAGTACATCTCCATTTCATCCTCTTCTCCACAGTTTTCTTTAGTGGGTTGCACACTTGCCCATAAGGCATCCCATCTCCGCCTAGCACTATCTGCTCCACGTCACCTTGATCACTCGTTGTTTCCCACTAGGGTTCCACTCAACAGCCTTTTTGGGAGTGTGATGCTACTCCAACAATGTTCTCAGATAGTGCTCCATTTCTTTCGGTATAATTCTTGGATAATTGGTGGTTCTCGGTTTGTTCTTTATAAGAATTCCTTGTTGATGATCGTTTCAGGCCGACCATCTGATCTTCAGTATTCAGCTAGCGAAAGGAGCTGTTAATCGAAAGTCTACAGAAGCCTGTTGGAGAAATGCTTTTGGTGAACCATTTTAAAATCACTGGTTTGACATCAGTGTTGAAGATCCTGATCTAGTTGCTTATATACTGAGTGTGAGTGCACTAGATTTCCACACTGATTTCAGAGTAATGAATGTCTGTCTTGCTTTGCTGATTGTGGCTGTTTTTTAGCATCCTTATCTGTGTCATCCAACTGCCGAAGTCACATTAGTGAAAGAAGTGACTTCTTCTTTCGGATTTCTCCCGTGGATAGTGATTGATGCTTGCTGTTAGCTAGTTTAATTAGCTGTCATTTTTGTTGTTGTTTAAGTTAAATTCAAACAAAGCAAAAACAACAAATGTTTGTGTAGAATAATATGAAACCATCGTTTATTTCGTTGTTGGATTCTCTTCAATTGCTTACAACCTAAAAGTTGTTTATTAGTGTAAATGTATTTACAGAATTTGGTTATACTTGTAATGGCTCAACATGATTTTTGTTAACAGTGACACACTCACAGGTTACTTAGCAATTTTGAGAAGTTCCACTTGTATGACTTATACAAAGAGGAGGTCAAGGTTTAAACAAAAGGCAAACACATGCAGAATTAATGGTCGGATACACATTAAAAATTGCGTTGCACAAAAGGAGAGAAATTGATGATGAGTAATAATGTGGTGAGTTTAATTCAAGTCATAGAAACAAAAAGAAGGCGGGGGTGGTGAAAAGAAAAGGTTATGCAATCAATTCAGATGGAGACATTAGACGTCAAGTCACCAAGGCGAAGAAAGACTAATAGGTGAATATTTCTGAACACATAAGTCAGGCTTTAAACGTTTGATAGAGATTGCTTCGGTAAATTCGAGGAAAGTTGAGTTATTTTCTGTATGAATAGTCTTGAAGGATCTCACGGTGTCCACAGCATAAACATGTATCAACAAGATGTCTAGCATTAGCACTGTTGCAAACATCTGTTCCTCTGAAACGTAAACTTTTCAGTACATGTTCAGGGAATCTGAGATATGCCCTTCTTTCAGTTCTCCCAATGTAACTGCTCCCGAAGATACACGTAAATTTGTATACGCAATCAGGGTTAACATGGGAAGAGTATCTGTCAACCATTGATTGAACCAAAGAGTTTGCTCGATAAACGGGAACCAATTTGACTGCAGGTTAGGTTCTGGTTAGAGAAGTATTCAATCTTCTGTTGATTATTCCTGCATTATTATCGTTTTTAAAATCAAGCTGGATGAAGATATAGGTTTCTTGTTTACTGTGGTTTGTTTCACCTTTCGATTTTCAGATCTTTCATACTTTTTAGTGAATTTTGGAGGATAACTGTTATTTTTCAAAACTTTCTCAATGTTTATTTCTTCCAGTATTTCTGTGGAGCATATTCGTTTTGCTCCGTAAAGTAGTTTCTGACCAATGCTCGTTTGTAGGCGATTGGACTAAACTATTGAAATCTAAGTATAGTCCATTCTACGTGGATTTTCGGCGAATGGATCTTTGCATACTCCTATCTTCGTATGACAGTATCAAGGAAATAGAACTTTCCAGTGTTAGCTGATATAGGGCCAGGCTGGAAAAGAGCTAGCGGCGGTCAAACGAAAACATGGCAGCAGTCAATGAAATCCACAACAGTTAGTCTAAGCCACGTAGGAAGATGTAGACTTCCTGGTTGGGGTCCTCGGGACGGTAAAAACCAATGGTTGGAAACAATTGGTGACATGGCTCAAAATCGTTCTCATTGGCTGTTGCAGATGCATCCACTCCTTGTGACTTATGATTTCCAATTAAACTGTTTTGTTCTTCGTTATTACTATTCCTTTGTCTCACACCTCCGTTTACTGTCTATATTATGCATTTCTTCTACTTTCTTCTCTTGCTTCGTGTGCTACACGGAGTGTGGCGACTTGAACTGCCGCACATAGGTGCAAAGTTCTATGTCGAAAACCGACCGACCGACCGACTTTCCATCAGTCTCTTGTGCCGTTGTGAAGTCAATATTCTCATGCACGTCTTTGAACAGTTGAAGTCGATGAGATGCCTGATTTTCACTATCACGTAACATGAAGGTGTCATCGACATATCAACAATTAGAGATTGTCTTATCGATCGCCCTTTTCAGCTTTGTTCTCCCAAGATTAGACATGAAGATGTCTGCTAGTGCGGGGCCTTGTGGACTGCCCATAGCTACAGTGTCTATTTGACCTATAGAGGTTATCATCAAATTGAAATTGTTCATCTATGGTGCACATTCGTAGTGGGTGTGTAAATTCCTCCCACAGGCAAATGGAGCAAATCGGAACACTGGCACATAACATTGCCATTTTTTATGAAGTGGAATCCTTGTGAATAGAGAAGTTACATCAAAGAATATCATGAACTTGTTGGGATCGTTTATATTATGAGCTAAATTGATTCTTCTCATTGGAACGAATTGTGCTGTATCTGTGTTTTGGTATGTTGGTTTCGCTTCTTCCTTCGATGATGTCTAAGGGATTAAGGTGATGTCATTTGATGGCTGTTGGAGGGGCGAGGGGTAACCGCTAGCATTTTTGAATTCAAAATGCACAGATGCAGCTTTGG